TTTTTCTTTTTTGGTTGTTGCTAATTTCAGCCTTTTTTAGCCAATTCCCTAATTTGTATGCTAATTTCTTATTATTTAAATTTAATTCACCAAATGTGTTCTTTCTGCTTTCTTCTGCTAATTTAGGCTTGTTCTTCCATTTCAGATGCATTTCAGAATGTTTTTTTTTTTTTAGCTAATTTCAGCTGTTTTTCAGCAAGCATCAAGCATTCACACTGCATTTTTGCAGGAAATTCAATTTCTCTAGTTTATTTAAAAAATTTCAGATGTGTTTTGTTTCAGTTCTTTCACTGTGCCTTCCTGCTCTGCAGAGTATTTACAGCTAAACCAGGTTTTCGTGCCGTGTAACCTGACCTGCGTGAACATGTCGTAACAGGCTAATGAAGCCTCTTCACTGTTGCCATACAGTGTAAGTGGTGTGTGAAATCAGTAGGTAGGGGGGTGGGGGTGGCGGGGATCTGCTTTGACACCCTAAATCCTGCAGCCTAGCTCGGCTTTGTCAAGAGACCTTAGCCTGGAGGAGAGCGAACAAGGGAGGGATGAAAATGGTGGGAGAGAGGGGGGGGGGGGGCATTGGGGAGCAGTTGATTGAAGAGGGGGTGCAGGTTGAGTGGGGTTTGGGAGAGGGAGGGCAGGGTGAGGGAGATGGGGTTCATTCATTCTCCTGCTCTCACTATGAAAGCAAACAAAGAATATTGAGAAGCCCGACTTCTGACAGCAGGACCTGGACTGCTTTAGCTGTTTAGCCTCCGCTGACCCGACTGTTCTGACACCGTCCTCGTCTTCTGTCCTCCGTCCATCAGTGATCTGTCTGCGCTGAAGACGTCTCATTGCTCTGCAGCCTCCTCTGTCCTCTGCATGTGAGTGTCTCTACTGGGCTGTTTATTAGCATCAGCACGTTTTAGTTAACATGCTTTTTTCCTTAAGCCAATGAATAAGTTACACATATTGGAAGTTTATTTTTATTTTTCCACATGTCTGACATTCGTTTTCTCATCACCCATAGAAATGTTTTTGACAACTAAAGCAGTAAAAATGTGAATGCATCCAGACATACACACCTCACTGAAAGAATGTCCCTGGGAAAAAAAAAAAAGATTTTTTAAGTGGCTGGCCGTGTTAAAGCTTAATCCAGATGTGTAAAGAGTAAAATTTGTATGCTGGCGAGCTAATATTAAAAGACAGCTGGTCATATTTGCATATGGTGCAACTAAAACGTCTCATGAGCAAATTCTGTCCTGCCTAAATATTTAGTTGTGGTTTTTCTCTGGCTGAAGGGCAGACAGCTTGATTGCTGGCTCAGCAGTGTAGCTGGCACATTTTTGGGTCAGGCTGGCACAAGAACTGACATTATGGAAGGGTGGGACCACGTCTCTGGCCGATGGTCACTCGAGAGGAATGGGTTGTAGTCCGGTGCAGACAAGCCGGTTTTATTTCATGAAAATAAGGATTTCACTCAGTTGTTTGGGCTCGAAGGATGCACGTCTATTCAGTTATTGATCACAGGATGATCATCTATGATAAGATTTACATAACTTCAGTTTTATGCTGGGTATTACAACAACCTTTCACATTGTTCTACTTCTGATTCATTAGGTTACATTTTCAGTTTAGTATTGAGTAAAATGGGGATCTTTTATCGACACCATTTACCAACTTTAGGTTTGAAAACTAGAAAGCAAAGCGTCCTGTTATCATACGGGAGTAAAGGGATCAAGTTTAAAAAATTGTCAGTCAAAAGCAGATGATATCTAAAAACCTGATAACAACAACTCAGAGGATTGTGTCCAAACTCTTGACTTGTACCATTTACCAAAAAAATCTTCAAATTAATTAAATCACTGTTGAGTCATTCAAATGCAGATTTACTATATACAAATCAGTTCGGCTTTCTTTTTTATTATTTAGTTGAATTTTGTAAATCTTTTGTTAATTATGACATTTGTTTTTAAAATAACAGTAAATTAATCAGCTGATTTCCTTTTGTCTTCTGATGATGAGTACTTTGAATATTCTTTGAATAATGACCACTTAATGTGCACTTTTCTGCATTTTACGGTGTTTTAACAAAAGTATTATTCAAATAATAGTCAAAACATCTGTAAAGACCTATTGATTTTTTTTAACACTAATTAGATAGACCTGTTTAAATATAGCTAGAAATCTTTTGTATTATTCAAGTCTTAAAAACTAGAAATAATTGGGATTATAATGATGCAGTTCAGTCTTAAATTATCTTCGTGATCTGTTGTTGCTAAACAATCTCCCTTTCTGCCCACCACACGCAGCAACACACTCTGCCTGGCTTCAGCTTTTTTAATTGGCCACCACTGGGAAAGAAAACATACAGATGCAGATATTTTAGATGATTTCAATGCCGTCAAACATATACTGCAGTTTCTGTTACTTATTTAAAACTAACTAAAAATGTTCCTTTATCTGTACTTTGTGCTGACTTGTAGAGGAATGTGCTGTCTCAGTGTTCATCCTGTGATTGAAGATCCATGTTGGAGTAATTCTCTAATGGTCCTCACTGGAAGAACAGCTTCAGTCAGTAACCAGCAGGCGAACCTTCTCGATCGTTTGTCAATCACTTATAATCAATAAACCAAATCAGAGGACCGCATGCTTTGTTGCTGCCATGAGAATTACTTCTACTTTTTGGGGGGAATTTGGATATGAAACTGACATGAAACTTATGGTAGCAATATTAGATAATTTGTCAGAAAAAACAAATCTCACGTTAATAAAATAAAATATACATTTACTTGAGATGGATGAAGACCTGCCTCACAAGTCTGGCACTCTAGGGTTCAGACTATGCGGATATTTATTTTGATATCTGTCTGTTTTTGTTGTCTTGCTCTGCATGAGGGTACATTATAACAGAAGTGTACATCGGGGATGACAGGAGTGCTCCAGATGTGTTGTCAGTGAGGTCTCATGGCTGAGAGGCAGGAGAAGAGGTTTGAGTGGAGGGATAAAGAGAATCAAAGAGCAGGCTTACGACGAAGGTCGATGCTGACTGAGAAAGGAAACGGTCTGCCAGCTGAGCCACTCATCATAATTCTTTATTATAAAATGAGAAATCCCTCGTCTTTCTGTCAATTCTGGTAGGTTAGCCTTCTTTCTGACATGTGAATTTCTATTTTCTAACAGTTTTTGTAAACTCTACCTCTCGTCCTTTTGCACATTTTAAGCACCTCTGTAGATCCGTTATGTGGTGAAGCTTTATGAGCTGAAGGGGGTCAACCGCTGTAAATGTACAAATTACAGAACATCTTCTCTCATCATGCAGTTCACCATAGATGCTAAGCTGTCCGCCTTCAATCTTTCCATCTGTGTCCTCCCCTCAGTCCCCCCACCCTACACCCCCCCTGTTATTCCCCAGTCAGCAGGGCACATATTGACCTTTAAATTCTCCCGTTTCTTTCTTATGGAGGCAGTCAGAGTTCAAACAGAGAGAGGAAATAAATTCTGTTTGTGGGTAATGCACAAACCATGCACATGCAAACATTCAGTTTCACTGCACACGTGCAGTATAAATACTGTAGTCTCTTATTCTGTTTTTCTAGGATTAAGGGTCACTTCTGTTTAATGTTAAAGTCCAGTCTACAATAATTAATGACCAAACTGTTTGTGCTCAGATCAAAAGATTAGCTTTACCGAGACATAACTCCATGGATCTGTGTGTGCTCGGGGCCGCTCGGCCTCTCAGGCCACGGGCCAGAATTTGGAGCCGTCGCAGAGAATAGTGACTCTCTATTGTGTGACTATCAAACTGGCTGACTGCTGCGGTGAGCGAACGGGCACGCTAGCTTGCACGCAGACATTCACTGATGTTCACACACACACGTAAACAGAGAGCGTATCAACAGAACGAGTCAGTGTCAGGTCATCCGGCTTAGCCTGTGGACAGCAATGCATTGTTGGACATTTGACAGTGCAGGCATTCAGTTGTTACTGGTGACTCAGAACCAGTGGGCCGCACAGAAACCAGTGGGACCAACAACACCTGCCTTCACATCATCACACAAGTGTGCCCAAGAGGCTTAAAGAGCAAAAGAAAGAAGCAAACCTCACCCTGAAAATAATCTGATAAAGAATTTTAGAACGGTATAAAACAGCAGCTAATAATGTCTAAATAATGTATGAAAGAGAAATATTAGTACGAGATGTTTAAATAAAGATTTGGTATGCACACTCACGTTCGGATGAGCACACTTCATAACAGAGCAACCAATAAAAAAAAACAACTCTGCAAGGAGGGAAACATTTAATCAAGTTGTCACCTGCAGGTAGCTTTATTGTCTGCACTCTATTTTCTTTTCTCTTTACATCCACCCTCTTGAACTCCACTGGGAACATAGACATTAAAGCAGGGCGGAGTGTCGAGTTATTGAGTTTAAGTGATAACATCAATTCAAAATGACTCCTAAGTGCAAATATATCATGCCTTCACTCTCACTGCTCAGATCTTTCACCTGGTCTCTTTTTAACTGTCTTTTTATTTTTCACTTTCTGTATTTAGTGTACTAAAATAAATAAAAAAATAAAAAAATCCTGTTCTTGATGTTTTGTGTGGAGAGTGGACTTATGTTTGGTGAATTTTATTATCCTGACAGCAGTGTTTTTATTTCCTTAATATTCCAGACACAGCAGACAAAATTCTATTTTTAAAATGTCCCCTTTATATATATATATATATATATATATATATATATATATAATATGAGAAAAATGTCCAGACTATTGAATATATTAGGCCTTTTTTTTTTTATTCAGAGAGTGTGTTTGAGTGCACGAGAGAGATGAGCAGTATTTCCTAACCAAAACCTATGTCTGGTACCCTGTGGTGCCATCAAAACCAGAGCACTAACCCACACCAAACACCACAGCATGGTTGGGCTAATGACTCATCTTTCTGCCTCCCCTCCCTGCCTGTTCCTCTCTTTTCTCTCTCTGTCTGTCCCTCCATTTGTCCGTCTCTGTCTATACAGGAGACATCACTCAGAAGGGATATGAGAAAAAAAGAAGCAAGCTGCTGGCGCCTTACATCCCACAGATACAAGGTAAGACATTTAAGCCTTTTGGGTATTTACTGTCCTAAACAAAGTTTTTCTTCATGTGGCTACATGTTCAATAAATGGCTAATTGTCATGATGATTACCTGAAAAACATCTTAAAATGAGTTAAATAATTGTACTGTAGTTTTCAAAGCTGGGAACTGATAATAAAAAAAAAACCTTGAAAAATCTCAAGCATTCATAAAACAGTTCCTAAAGCCTTGATGAGAACTTCAAGTTTATTATTAAATTGAGCCAAGGCCTTATGGGTAATCTATAAAATATGCACACTGTATATTTATACATCAATTAAGTGTATTTTGATCCTCACTGGGCAGTCATTCAGTAAACGTTTGAAGTGAATACCAAAGAGAAGTTGCTGTCTTTATGTTTTTTACTTCTCAGTCATCTTTAGTTTGGCCTGATCTTACAGGCTTGAGTGGAAACCAGAGTCTGCTGTGGGCGGCTCGCTGTATGCTTTCCACTGATGTTAGGACGACTGGTATTTAGCTTGGATGGATAATTTTGTTCCTTCTCTCCCACCGTCATTCTTATGGGGTTTCTTTGCACTGTTAATTGTTTGATGCAATCATTATGGGCAGACTTAAAACACATAGTTGGACTGAGATGAATGGATGTATTGGAACTTCTTGGCCAATCTTTACAGCACAATTAACTTTAAGTTTTAATAGCTGCAGGGTGAAATTTGTCCGTTCTGACCTTCATACAAAATGTCATAATGTGTGGTGCTCTCTCATATTTTACTGTCATTGCCCTTTGTTTTTACAGTTGCTTTCAGTGTTTTCTACACTAAAAATGTTCTGAAACGTATTCAAGGTAACCTATTTTTGTACATGGGAATGTCAGTGATTAGTCTGTATGTTTTCTCAGACGGTTGGTGGGAGAGAGGTGGATGTTCAGGGTGAGGCGTGTCCTTTAATATACAGCTAGCTCTCAGTTGAACTCAGCCCGTGTAAATACCTATCAGGGTTGGTGGTTATTGCGCAGATGACACGTTGTACCACCCTCGGCACTCGCTGCAGGACCTTCCTGTTCTCTCCCGTGCAGCTGGTGAACCAAACTGTGCAGCGGTCGGTCGAGAGGCTCTCTGCTGCTGACCGATAGAAGTTTGTCAGCAGGGGATGAGGGTGGTGCGCGTGCTTTAACTTCCTGAGGAAGTAAAGCCTCTGTTGTGCCTTTCCCACTTGGTGGAACACGTGTGTGGGCCAGCTGAGATTCATACATGATGAAACCCAGTGCTGGCCTCCTCTTTGCATGCAGAGCAGGTGGAGGGATTCTCTCTGCTGGTAATTGTAGATGGCAGAACTAGCACTATTGACATAAATGAATGAAAACAATAGACTGTGGTCAAGAGAAACCGAAGAAGAGTTTTTATGTGAACGAAATGCATCGTTTTGATCATATGAAATCCATAAGGGACACTACAAACAGAAACAAGGTGGAGGTGTTACCATGCTGTGTGACTACTTGGCTGTGCTTATTCAACATTTAAAACAACTATTTCAAAGGAGCAGTGGGAAGGTTTATAGTGGGTCAGTTTTGAACCAACAGTAGCTATGTTTACATGGGCATAAGTAATTGGATTAAATGGCCATTCTCATTATTCTGATCTGATTCAGCTCAATCCGAATGAGAGGGGTGGTTTATGTCTATTCATAATCCAAATAGTGTGCATGTAAACACTTAATCTGATCATTTTATTCCGATTGTGGAAAACTGACCTGACTGTGCATGTGCGACCTATGTCTACCTCATGCATTTCCGCCTGGCTAGATGATGTCGCGGAAGCAAAAATGGTCGTTGAGCAACACAACATTTCTACTAGAGACTTTGAAAGAGCTCAAAATGATCTGTATTACCTGTAGCTCAGTCAGGGAGTGCAGTAACATCTCCACCGCCATTAAAACCTGGCGTGGGTCCATTTTGGGCGCTCAGGTTTGTTTACGTTCATCACAGAAGTAGAACTACTTCTCCTGTGTTTTTTTTAAGGAGAGTTTACCACTCTGCGCATGTCAGTACTTCTATTCTGAATAAAAGTCTGCTGCATGTAAGCGCTCATCGTGAAAGGATTGCGCTCATATAAATTATACATTCGGATTATTTAATCCGAATACATTTCAATCCGATCAAAGAATTCTGCACATGTAAACATAACTACTGAGTCTCTTGCAAACTTAGAAGCACTTCTAAACAAATTAAAAAAACTTCCAAACAAAAAACAAGAAAAAAACATTCAATGGCTGAAAATGGCAGCTATAACCTATTTGTATTATTTAATATAAGTCCATTTATATTTTTCTCAGAATAAACTCTTGATTCTGTGCTTACAGCTCAGCTCAGACTTTGGGTCTGATTGCAGATTAGTTTATTAATCAAGCCCTTTTTTGTCTGTGTAATGAGTGTAAATCCAGTCAAAGCTAGTTCTTTATAAGTGAATGTCACTTTTCAGTCAATTATACACTGCAGTTGTAAAATCTGATTTAAAACGCTCTAGTTTTCAGGATCTAATATATAGTTAGATTTGTAGCACAAGTGCTGTATTTTCTTTCTAGGAGGTGACACACAGACGTGTATCATCATAACCCACACCGGTAACTGAGTCTTGGCATCAGACAGGTGAAATAAATTCATCAGGGCTCGCTGCGAACCAATAAAGATATCTGTTGTGACGGAGCAGACCTCTGATTGGCTCAATGTTGCGTGTCTGAAGTACTGTATGTTCTGCCCGGCAACCGGGTCTGTTGTCCTGGCTTGTTCTATAGACATATTTCCTCAGGGAGCTGAGGAAAGGCTGGTGTACGACTGGGCCGTCAGTCCAATTTAGGGGACCAACATATATTAATGTGTCTATCTGCGCTCTTAGCATGAGACGTGTCAAACTCAAACAAATGCCCTGCAGCAGTTTTTTATGTTGGATTTGATTCATGTCATGCTCACTTGCAGAAATCTCTGTAAAACAGATTTGGTTGAAGCAAATGTTGCTCTGCACAGCTGTTTGCGTTGCTGCTGATGCTGCTGCTGTGTGAGAGTTGCTGACTGTGTGGAGTTCAGTGATCCAGAGTAAGCTATCACTGAAAAGCCCAGCTGTCTCATAGCTGTCTGGTTGGATGGGTTTCATGGGCCAGCCAGGTAAATCCAACATGTCACTGGCTAAATGTGTTGTGCCAGGAGTCTGTCCACTAATTTTTGTACAAACCGGATTCCAAAAAAATTGGGACACTAAACAAATTGTGAATAAAAACTGAATGCAATGATGTGGAGGTGCCAACATCTAATATTTTATTCAGAATAGAACACAAATCACAGATCAAAAGTTTAAACTGAGAGAATGTATCATTTTAAGGGAAAAATCTGTTGTTTCCAAATTTCATGGCGTCAACAAATCCCAAAAAAGTTGGGACAAGTCCATTTTTACCACTGTGTGGCATCCCCCCTTCTTCTTACAACACTCAACAGACGTCTGGGGACAGAGGAGACCAGTTTCTCAAGTTTAGAAATAGGAATGCTCTCCCATTCATGTCTAATACAGGCCTCTAACTGTTCAATCGTCTTGGGCCTTCTTTGTCGCACCTTCCTCTTTATGATGTGCCAAATGTTCTCTATAGGTGAAAGATCTGGACTGCAGGCTGGCCATTTCAGTACCCGGATCCTTCTCCTACGTAGCCATGATGTTGTGATTGCTGCAGAATGTGGTCTGGCATTATCGTGTTGAAAAATGCAGGGTCTTCCCTAAAAGAGATGACGTCTAGATGGGAGCATATGTTGTTCTAGAACCTGAACATAGTTCTCTGCATTAATGGTGCCTTTCCAGACATGCAAGCTGCCCATGCCACAAGCGCTCATGCAACCCCATACCATCAGTGATGCAGGCTTCTGAACGGACCGTTGATAACTACTTGGGCTATCCTTGTCCTCTCTGGTCCAGATGACATGGCGTCCCAGTGTTCCATAAAGAACTTCAAATCGTGACTCACCTGACCACAGAACAGTCTTCCATTTTGCCACACTCCATTTTAAATTACCCCTGGCCCAGTGCAAACGTCTGAGCTTGTGGAGCTTGCTTAGAAATGGCTTCCTCTTTGCACTGTAGAGTTTCAGCTGGCAACGGCGGATGGCATGGTGGATTGTGTTCACTGACGATGCTTCCTGGAAGTATTCCTGAGCCCATTTTGTTATTTCCTTGACAGTGACATTCCTGTTTGAGCTGCAGTGACATTTAAAGGCCCGGAGATCACGAGCATCCAGTATAGTTTTACAGCCTTGACCCTTATGCACACCGATTGTTCCAGATACTCTGAATGTTTTGATGATGTTGTGCATGGTTGATGATGATAACTTAAAAGTCTTTGCTATTTTACGCTGGGTAACACCATTGTGGTATTGCTGCACTATCTTTCTGCGCAGCAATGGTGGAATTGGTGATCCTCTTACTATCTTTGCTTCTGACAGACACTGACACTCTGAGAAGCTCTTTTTATACCCAATCATGTTGTCAATTGACTTAATTAGTGTTAATTGGTCTTCCAGCTGTCCGTTATATGCTCAATTTCCTTTTTCCAGCCACTTATTGCTACTTGTCCGAACTTTTTTGGGATTTGTTGACACTGTGAAATTTTGAATCAACATATTTTTCCTTTAAAATGTTACATTTACTCAGATTAAACTTTTGATCTGTCATCTATGCTATATTATAAATAAAATATTGACATTTGCCATCTCCACATCATTGCATTCAGTTTTTATTCACAATTTGTTTAGTGTCCCAACTTTTTTGTAATCCGGTTTGTACTAGAATAAACAGTGACTTCATACAGCCCAGTGGGTCGGATTACAACACCCCCCCACAAATCAGAACAATAAAAAGTATCATAAAATATTGGAAAGTGTTTTTTTTCTTGCCTGTAGGGTTACCGATCAAAATTTACATGACAGCATTTTTACTTTCATCTATTTCAGTTGTATTTCACCTCCTTTATACCTTGAGATGGTCATCTGAATATAGTTTGTTTATTTTTTCATTACACAACAGGTGCAATAGGAGCATCAGAGGAAGAAATAAAATCAGTGACTGAAGATGACCATTAGACCATCGGATATAATCTTACTTTACCTTTACTTTCCTCTTTGATGCTGATTATCTGGTAACGGATGGAGCTCAAACAATAGTTTGAAATTGAAAATGATGGATTGGTGTCTGAGTCTTGCAGTTCACAACTAGATACATTGCATTTCCTGTGAAAATGCAGTGTGAATGCTTATTGCTGAAGAATTTGCAGAAAAACTGCTGAAAATGTGCTAAAAACTTGTTGAATTGAAGAACAAGCTTAAATTGACAGAAGAAAGCAGAAAGAACACACATTTGCTGAATTAGGTTTCAATAAGCAGAAATGAGCACAGAAATGAAGAAATTAGCTAAAAAGTTGAAATTTGCAACAAAAAAAACAGCTGAAAAGGAGCTGAAAAGGGAGGAAAAAAGCTTAAACAATCAGAAAGTAACAAATAGCTGAAATCAGCTAAAAATGTGGAATTAACTGAAAAGGCTAAAATTAGCATAAAACAACTAAATAGTAGCTGAAAGCTGATAGCAGAAAAAAGGTGAAATGAGTATAACAAGCTGAAATTAGCAGAAAGAAGTTAAAAGAAGCACAAAATATTGTAGTTAGCAGAAAGAACTTGAAAGGAGCACAAAACAGCTGAAAAACAGCTGAACCTAGCTGAAAACAGTTTACGTTTGCAGAAGAAAGCTGAAAAAAGCAGAAGCAAACAAAATGTGAAAGGAGCAGCAACAGGTTGTAAACAGATCTAAATATTTGAAGGATGTAAAATGAGCTCTACTAATTTTCTATGAGGGAAAAAAAAGTGGCAGAAAAGGCTAAATATTTCAAAAAGCTAAAGTTGCACCAATACCAAAAGTCATAGCACCCTTCTCCTGAGCGAGCTGAGTGTTTTGATATATAATTTGTTGAAATGGTACAACAATTGTGGAATGAGAAATATGCTGAAAAACAAACAGAAGAAAAATGGATCACAATGTGTGAATGATTCAGAAACATTCACACTATGAACACAGTGAGGTAAAGTTTGAACTCTCAGGCTGAATCACCTCCCTCTCTTAAATCTGTGAAATTTGCTTTGCTCTGAAAACTTGAAGCCTGTTGGAAAGTTTTATTATAGGCTGGATTAATTAAAGTGTATACTCCCTCAGTACCAAGTTATTATATTAAAGGAGACCAGCCTAAGAAGGGATTACATTAAGCATGTGAATACTTGATTTAGTTGAGCAATTTTTAGCACCGTTGCTTTCTGTTCAGAGTTCTGCAGCTCTGATTTCTGCCACTGAGCAACAGTAGATGTTTTGTCCAGGCCCTAACCTGTTCTCTACCTGCTGTGGTGTTGTCTCTCTCCAGGTGTAGATCCATCTCTGCAAATCGACAACAGAGTCCAGGCCTCCTCCCAAGCTGTTCTTCCAGTTTCCAAACAGAACAGGTCCCGGGCTGCCAACGCCCGGGATGAACGCTTCAGATCTGGTAAAAATTTTAAAACGCCTCAATTTCCTTATTCTATGTTGAGTGATCATACTATGCTCGTTTAACCATGTGGATGTGTTTTCTTAGATCTGCACACGGAGGCGGTCCAAGCAGCTTTGGCAAAGTACAAAGAGAGGAAGATGCCCATGCCCTCAAAGAGGCGATCAGTGCTAGTTCAGTCGTCAGTGGAGGCATGCACACCCCCAGGTGAGACCTTTGCTCCTGCAAACACAGTTTGTGTTGGGATTTATGGTTCCACTGGTCATTTGTTTCATATGTTCCCATGAGCATGGGTGTAGGATGGTGACGCTGATGTGTTCAGTGACTTTAAATGTTGCTGCCAAGCATTTGCTACTGGAAAGACGTGCATTTTGATGAATGTCTCCATTCTTTGTGACTGTAAAGATTTTGTTTTCACTGTTACGTCTGCAGGCAGACCTTCCCACACGAGCTGCATAATGAAGGAATAATCAGATTCGTACCATCATCTCTAAATGTTGACCTTTTGCCTGCTTTGATATTGTGTGGGCAAGTTATTAGAATTTTTTTGTTGTTTTATTGCATTAGGAACCTTCTGTTTTCAAGGCTCCTTAAAGCTCTTTTATATTTTTTTAATTATTTGATGTGAGATTTAACAAGTGTCTCAAACACTGCAGTGACTTATCTTTGGTGTAAGAGGTAGCGAGGCCTAGGCTCAAGATTTGGATTGAGAGAGGACACAGTAGGAGTAAGTAATCAGATTAGGAGCTTCAACACTGGAATTTGAATAGAAGTGAAAGTCTCTCCTTTTTTATTTTTGCAAGTATTTCTGATGGACTAGTTGTGCTCAGATGAGATGTGTATGAATGGCTGACAGTTTTTATAAATATCTACAGCAACAAACAATGGAGATCCTGGATTATAAAAGATTCAAACAGATTCTTAAGATTACACAAAGGTTTGACAGGAACCATAAAACGTGCTGGGGCATTTAATTTGTTGTTTTTCTTTTCTTGTAAATTATTTTATATTTATGGAAAACCAGTAATAATCAGACCTACAGTGTGGTCAGTTAATAGCATTTTGGTTTATTCTAAGAATGGAGGGCTTTTTGCTTTTGGACAGAAAGTAAAAAATAAATAAAAGACTTACATAAGGTATACATGCAGGACTGCAATTAAAGAACACTTTTGGATAACTTCCTATTCATTTAGATGCTTTATTAAACCATTATTATTATTATTATTATTACTGGTATTATTATTATAGTTAGATGGAGGAGGATGACTCGCTGTGTCTAGTTGTGCTTTCTAGTAGGTCACAACAGTATTCATGTTCAAGTATCTTTTAAAAAAACAGTAGGAATGTCTTAAAAAATATATTTCTGTGCAGCTCAGTTCTGGTTCAATTTGAGTCTAACAAAATAAAAAAGAGATTATTATTATAAGGCTCCAGAACAGCTCTAACTTTACATTAAATATGCCATTGATGGAAGTTTTTAGGGTAACTTTTTTTGTATTATTCAAATAAGATAACAACTAGACTAAAGTCTTAATGTTTTTTGCCTGAACAAATATATAACTGGTGTATAATATTAACAGAGTTTAGTAGTGTGTCTGCTTACATCCTCCATTTATCTTTAGATTTGTATCTTTACCTCAGATTTGTCCATCACTGCACCATGCTTCACTTTTTGTACCTGATTCTGTCGGCTGCCGACACTGATTTCTTTCTCTGTTCTTTAGTGTTTTCCCATTCTTTATGCCTCTATTTCTACTTGAAATGTATTTTCTGACCCTCTCCTTCCCTCAACCCCCTGTGCAGCTGTGTCCAAGCTACTTTAGATTGATAAAGATTGGAGACAGGCAGAGGAGTAACAAACAGAATTTTAAGTGGGAGATAACCCACATGAGTAGAAACAATAAATTAACAGCCTCTACAAGAAGAATCCAAAGAAAAGTAGCGGGGATTTTAATAATGTCTCAGTTGGTTGACTTGTAAATATATTCTGAGTGATTAGAAAGATGAACTATCTGAAGACCTGTTAGTGTTGATCACACACAAGCTCAACATCCATCCGTCTGCTTTTTTATTGTCTAATCTAGCTCATGCTCTTTTTATAAAAATTAAATATTTGTTTTTACAATTTATTTAAGCTTAAATTTTCAAGATTTGTGAAGTACATATGTATTTTCCTTTTAAAGTTGATGTTTAGGTGCCACTGTTTACATAAAACTTGACCTAATGTTACATTTAAAACAATTTAAGCTAATACTTATTTTTCTTCTAACCTTCCTTTTGCACTCAACTCTTTGCAGAAAACTAATTTAGGACAATCCTGCTGTTGTGTAACTCGAACTTGTCTAAAGTACAGACATGTTGGAGAGCTAAAAAGAAACGAGTTCATTTTACACAGATACCACATTGCTTTGAAGGTTTTCCTTTTTCCTTTTTGACAGTAGCCTCCAGAGAGAGAGAGAAGGCTAAGATCAGAAGCCAGATTTTAATTTAAGTAATTACTTGAATATCAGTTGACCAATTATGCATTTCTTAATATTTTTTCATATATTGTATAATGTTATGTGGTTAGTGGGAAGTTAAATGTTTTTCAAGTTTTAGATAATGAGACAAACTAACACTTTGTAGCTAAGCTAAATACTAAGCTAAGTATACAGTGTATTTATGTATATTTATATGCAAGTAGTTTTTGTTTTTTCTAAAGGGCATTATTATGCAGAAAATGAACCAAAAAAAAAATCCCCTACCGTTTGTCTGTCTATTAGTCAGACATTTGAGTTTAAAAGTTACCTTTCTAATCATAAATGAAATACAGTGCATTATTATTTTTGGTAGGTTTAGTTTACTTTTAGAGTTAACAAAAACAAAACTATCTGCAAAGGTTTGTTAGAATGTAGGCGGAGTCCGTAAAGATGTATGGCAACTGCCTGCTTCTTAAAGGTTTTATTGGTTTCATAAATCACAAGAAGCTACGGTGTTGAGTCATAAAAATATATAAAACTTGAAATAAGAGCAGCTGATCCCCTTTAATACTCATTCTAAAGTTACTATGTTTTGTAGTGCATTTCTTCATGTGGGGTTGAGATGGGTTAATGGTAGGGCAGCCAACCTGGGACCAGAAAGTCACAGTTTGACTCCCAACCATGAGCAAGACACACAATCTCTAATTGCTCCCCGGGCGCTTGCATAGCTGCCCACTGCTCCACCTGGGTATATCTCACATGTGATGGGCTAAATGCAGAGAAATAATTTCCCCGTTGTATGGGAACATACAATGACAAGCTCAAACTCCCCTTCCCTTCATACAAAGAAATTGTTACATTAATACACTCAAAATACACTCCATAAGCATTTAAACTTTTGAAGACTTCAGTTTTGTTTAGTATATTAAATTCTCTTCTACTTGCTGTAATTGCATTATACCAAAAAACCTGTGCTTTAGTCGTACGTTGTTTAAAATGAATTGCTTCGCAGAATTATTTTTATCGTCCATTACCATGAGAACCATTTTGGCATCAGGCATGCTTGAATGTACCTTACACTGATTGTATACGTAGATTATTGTATCATCAGCATATGATCAAACCATTCGAAGTTGTTCCATCTTGATTTAGTCACGGTGAGATCTTAGACAGCCCTATGTTTTTGTCCACTAATATGACACTGCCCTGTTTTGACCTGTCAAACACAGATACCTCCTCAGCATCAGAAGACGAGGGTTCGCTGCGGCGGCAAGGACGCCTACCGACCTCCACGCCCTACCAGGGTCACAGCCACCCAACCGTAGAGCACTGGTTTAACCGAGTCATCCAGGGTTCATCCACTTCATCCTCTGCTTCATCCACCTCATCCCACCCGGGAGGGAGATCTATCACCAACACCACTACCCACGCAGCCCTTAACGCCAACGCCACAGCAACTGCACTGGCGGACCTTATGGCGCACACCCAGCTAGGTCAGTAATGCACACGATCTCACACAGCATACGTTTTAGTCAATCTAGGGTTTAATTTATATCCTCTGGTACACTGCTGGATACATACCCTTGTGAACCAGAGTCTGAAGTCTAACGATTGCTGGCTTCAGCAGACATTTAGTGAGCCAGTCTGATTGTTTTTTTTTATCCCATCAGTGATAAAATCTTTACCTGTATAATGGCAACTTACAAAAAAATTAAAATAAAAAAACAACTAGGGTAGTTAAAGCACAGACTGTTTTGAGGCTTTGTCTTCCTGAAGATACACTAATTGTCTTGATGATGGTACTTCAGAGAGAATCATTGAGTTTCAAACCACATCTCTAATTAGTTGTCGCTGCCTGACATCTCAGTGTCATTCAGCTGTGATGTGAGAATTCTCACAGCCTTATCTCGGTCAAAACTGCCTGTTCTGTGTTGCCATTTGAGCATCACAAGTGAGTCTGTGATTCAGTGGATGTATCACCATCAGTATCTAGGTGTGAGATGGTGTCTTCCAGGCTTATGTGTGTCTGTGTGTTGTTGGCACAACAATATCCTCAGGATGGAGCTGTCTTGATTTGTTTCTTTCTTTCCATCTCATCTTTATTTAAGGCTGCTGTTATAAATTTGCAGCAGTGACTACTGAGCTGTAAAGCTGCAAATAAGTTTCCAATATTACCATGTTCCCTAGCCCCTCAGACATCATCCACTTCAGCTACTGGCGCCTTGCTGTCATACATGTATACAGCTTTTTGTAGATAATGTGAAAGGAAAGGCAATGTTTTAGGTTAAATGTCACGTTGCAAGAAAATGTTTATTCAAAAGGGGTGAATGTTTTTGATTGTTTTGGACTCAAAAACAAAGACATTCAAGATTCTTTATTGTCATTCGCATCACATGTGGTACATGTGGTGGAACGAAGCTGTGTACACAGGGTCCCAGTTGCATCCAACAAAAGTATTCAAATATTTTTATGTTGTATATTTATTTATTTATTGTTTATAGCTTGGCTCTAAAGCTCTGTCGTAGAATCTAGTGTGTTGGGGAAAAACTAATGATTCAGGTTTATTAAACCTAGAAGTTGTGGTAAATTTTGTTTTGGTGGATAATTTGAGTTAGTAAAAGTGTGTTCATTTGAGTTAGAGATTGTGACTTTGTGATGTCCACTTGTGAACCTTCTTTTGTTTTTCCAATTAAACACAAATGACATCAAAAGCAAGCTTACAATGTCCACAGAGAGCTGGTTTTAGTTGGCTTTGTTGTTCACTGAAGAGTTTGTATCTATATCATGACAAAGAGTAAAGAATTGCTCTGTACTTTTAAGATTGTGCTTCATTAGTCCTTACAGGGTCTGGTTCAAATCCCTTAGACGTCAGGGGAGTGAGGTATAATATAATGGCAACATCCCAAAGTAGGCTTGACCTTTTAACCCCAGACACCCCACTCATCACAGATAACCACTCAACACCCCCTGATGTGACGGGGCTGTCAGAGCGCTCCTCGCTTCATGGGGAGCGGCTCCACGTGGCCTCAGTGCGAGGCGTTTCCCTCAACTACAACCACCACACCAGCACCATGGAGACTGCAGATGGTGAGTTTCCTTCTTCCTCACACGCATGCACTCACAAAAAGTCACCTCCCTTTTCCTTTTCCCTCCTGCTGTCTGTCCCTCTGTCCGAGCCTCAGTCAAGCCGGCTTTTCTGACTGGCACAGTCTACTGACTGACCCCCCTCCCGTTGCCATGGTAACATTGCGCCTCTTCAACTCCAGAAAATTCACCATGTTTCTTCCAGCATATGTTGTTAACAAATCAACAGAAATACTATATAATTAAAAAAAAAAAAGTAAACAACACTCTTGCTTACGTTTAGTTTATGCACCTGTTTTAGAAGTAGATGTGCCAAGTATTATTGGGTATGTTTAGAGACGTATTGACTTTTTTGGACACAGATAATTTAGGAAGATTGTATAAAGGTTTTATCAAATAGTGTAGAATTAGTACCTGGGAGGGCAGGAGGGAGATGATTAATTTTCAAATTGGTTTTGTTTGCACCGAGAACTGCCCCTAGAATGAAACACTGGGTGTTGTGTTATGTAGATACAGGTTAAGGGTAAAATAAATAATAGATCTGTATGTGGATAGCATCTAAAATGTCAGTTTATCTGCTTGGTCTTTTCCTGTGTTGATGCAGCTTTTTCAGGATTTTTATTGATATGAAATGAGGTACCCATCTTTCAAAACTAAGAAGGAATGCTCTAAAACCTAAAGTAAAGATGATTGTCTTTAGAATATCACAATCACATTGAAACCTGTCAGTTTTTCATGTTCATTCATTCATTCATTCACTTTCACACACACATTTAACCATTCCAAACTGTATTCATTCTGCAGAATATTTGCTACTACAGTAAATCAGACACTAAACTAACTCACCTACTTGGTTCATATTAGTGAAAGTGGTTGTCAAATAGGTGAAGATTTGTCATCATCGCTGTTACTTTTGCTAATTGGTTGCTCACACACACACACAAAGAGAAACTTAGTTGGGTCATTTCATTGACGTACTGATATGTCTCTCCTCCAGGCTGTGAGTGGGCAGGTGAAGGATCCCTCACTTTAATTGATGGTATTTATAACTGTTCATCCAGCTCTGTGGCAGTCTGCTGTGTGTGCTTTTGTGTTTGTGTGCATTTGTGGTTCTGCCTTTGCCACTGCTGTTAGTTAGGTCTAGCATTTGCCCAATGCATATGAGCTTTACAACAATATTTAAGAAGCCACAGAGACATCAGGTATGCAGTGCGTGTTTTAGTGATGTCTAACCTGAGGGTTCTCAGAACTTATTCTGTTGAAGTTGACAATGTTAATAGTGCAGCTGTTTGTTTGGCCGTGTGAATAATTAACATGTTGACATACTGGTTTCCTACTTAAAAGTGAGAAAACTAAGAGGTGTCAAGTTTGTTTTCCACTTCATTTTGTGATGCCAGGATGTAGCACTGTAGCTACACAGAGGCCTTGGTGATGGCAGCTGTCAATCACTGCTGTTACTTAAATACTGACTCATACAGCGGAGAAGCAAATGTGCCACAGTGGCTGCTGTTATATCTGTTCTCTGATACTAACAGTCTATGCAGTAATGTCTTTAGCACTAATCTTGTAGTGCTTGGTAACATTACTTTCAGCTCCTTCCATTAGTAGACCCAAACCAACAGTGAGTTTTATTTTCTGCCAGATATTTCATGTCCACAAAAACGATCCTATCAAATTTTGTCCAAAAGCCATTGTTATACGGCATCTAAACTGGCCAGGCAGTGGTGCTGCAGCAACTTTGCTCTGGCCTGTACCTCTGAAGGTGAAAAATTTAAGGTATGCCTGTTGTGGCTTGAAGCATATCGCTACATTGGCTGCTGGTTGCCAGGTTGTGTAGGTTTCCTAAGGTCTTCTTCTTGTCTGTTTAAAAATAAATAAGTAAATTTAAACTTTTAACATTGTGTTTAGTTTTCATTTTATGTTGTGGCCTAATGAGCTGAGTCCTAACAAAAATTACTTAACGCTTAACTCTCAACTTACTCTACAAAACCAGACAAGCTAAGTGTCTAGTGTGAGTTTAAAACATTCCGGACGAGCCCCCAATTTATGCAACAACCAAGCTCATTGGGCCACAACAAAAATGAATGCCTCTTATGTATTGTAAAGCCCAGCCACAGTCAGTCTTCCCTTGCTCTGATTTTGTTTGCTTTCAGCAGAGTGCCGCCTCAATGTGGATGAGATTGTCATAGTAAAACCACGCAAATCTCAGCTCAGCAATAACTGTATCTCGTCGTTTGTCCAGGGCACTGGTGCTATTTTTTGCATTGCCATTTTTTCCAAAATAAAAATAGGAGCGCACTCTATCACACAACCAGCCAGAAGCAAGTAGCTGAAGGAAATGGCGGTAAGGAGCAGTCGCTGGAAGTATGACTTAACTGTGATGTGACAACCCCCCCTGCCCCAAGTCAGCAAACCAATCCATGGCCAGCAATCTGCTGACATCAAATCGGCTGCACCAACCCGGACCAAATGGAAACCCAGGTCACAGTGCATACGGGCCATTAGAGAGTAAGCACAACATTCAAGAAGGTCTCAAGCTTGAGCAAACAAGTGAAGCAAAGCTGTTGCATTACCTTTGCTTGACCAGTTTAGAGGCAAAGGGTGTAACATTCATAAAAAACATTAAAAAAATAGCACAATAGCTTTAAGTGTATAACCAGAGACATGGTAATTAGTTTATTAATATATGTAATCATTTGTATAACATCTGAGTGAATTGTATTGTTTGGATTAATCTTAATGCTTATAAAAATACACCTATACAAATGTGTCAAATTCTGTTTAAATTAAGTCTCTTAAGTCCAAGAGGGCCTAACTGGTACAAGAAATATGGAGAGAATGGAAACCATGTATTTATGAATCATTTTTGTGTCTGCAGTGGTCTGAATAGTCTTGTGGCTGAGACCGGCAGACACGGCCAAAAGTTTTAACAGATGGAAGTGACATGTTGGTTTTGGTCTGGTTTTTAGTTACAATAATTGAAATATGGAGCAGCACAAGCTTTATTCTTCCATTTCTATCTTTGTGAGTATTTGGGTTGGTCAGTAAATATAGTTATGATCCTACAGCATAAAAAAGTATATTTTACTGTGAAAACATGTTTCCTTTAAGTTGATACTTAATCCAGTCTTCACCATTCTAATTAAGTGTAGAGTCATACATTACAAAACCACTAACGCATTAATTATAGTTTGAGTGGTCGGGGCTCATTAATTGATGGTGTGTGTGGCCTACGTGTCAGGGCTTTCTAATTGGCCCATCAGGTGCTGCTGACCCACCCCCCACCCACCCACCCCACACACATCTACTCCCAGTGCGTCTGTCTACATGAAGGGGCAGCATCTGTCTTAGTGAGCCATTTCATAGTAAAAAAGATCTAACCCTCTGTGTACAGCTGTGGCTTTCAGCTCCTGTGGTCATCTGGAATGTCTGACACAGACCTCATTTGGGTCATTTAGGAATTCAGATGGTGAATACATTGTTTGGTGATCATAGTATGAGCCTATACATAAAATATGAGGATAATCTAACTGGACAACCCCCTGTCCTAATTATATTTGGAGTCTGTTGTGTCTTTTGTTTTCCCTCGTTCTCTTGTTTCCATTGTTATCTTTACAAAGGTCCACTTCTCTGAGATTTTGATGTTTAAATATGCCGTCATGTAGTTGGAACAAAACACTTTTGACTTTAGCCTCATTTGTATTTGCGTATAAAATGGACACCTTTGGAAACACCTTTATAATTTACATGCTGCAGAGAGGACATCTTTGTTGCTAGGCAGCAGGCGAGGTGGCTCGTTGTTTCTTAACTTAATGTTTTATTAGGTTTTTCTTGGATTTCAAAAAAATCTAGTCTGTCTGTGACCTCCAAGACTGTAGAGAACCTCACGGTCCACTGTTTTGTTGTGAGTGACAGCTCGTTGGCCTCTAAATCACCTTGTAATACCACACTGACCTTTTCTCCCGTCTTATCTGTCTTCCTCTTATCCATCGTTTTCTCATTACCTCATCAATCTCCTAATCTGTCCACACATGCCTCTACTCCAATATCTGCTTGTCTTCATGTATTTTATCTGTTGCTCCCACATCTCCATCTTGCTTTGCTTACGTCTCCCCCCCCCCCCCCATCCACCCACCTTTTACTTGTCATCCCCTTCAAATTCATTTTGTAGGTGTTCCTGTCAGCAGTCGTGTTTCCAACAAAATCCAGCAGCTACTTAATACACTGAAGAGACCAAAGCGGCCACCATTGCGAGAGTTTTTTGTTGATGACTTTGAAGAACTCTTAGATGGTAAGCTCGCTTGAAAGGAATTATTATTTCCTCTAATAACTCGTAAATCCTTAAAATGTGCATCGATCTGACTCCCCTCTTCTTTTTGTAAAGCTTTCAGTTGAGTTGTACATGTGCAGTCTTTGATATTTAATCCTTCTTAGTGACCTAATTGTCTGATAAGGTTAGTGATAAGTGGTTAGTTTCTTTGTAAAACTATGATCACCATGTGTGAAGAGGAATTTATTAAGTAAAAACAGTGTGCTCACAGTCGGCCAGCCCTGCCCAACTATTTCCTCCATTCCAGCTTGGTATGCTGTGGGTTTTGGGTGGTCCTCTGCCATTTGAATAAACATTGTGTAAATGAAAATGTGGCGGCAGCAGCAACCCATCAGCAGGTAACACTTAGGCTTTCTGGTTCTAATACTAAAGGTTCTGGCTCAAAGGTTGTGGTGATTTTAGAATGGGCAAAATATCACACAGAGGTTAAACGGCAGCAGTCGACACTTTCTGTTCCTTTGTAAAGGTGTTTTATTTGGCAAGAATACAACTCTCAACTCTACTTTTAGTTTATTTTTTTGTGTTTGAGAAGGGGGAAAGGTGAAATCAAATCACAGATTTAAAGCAAAGAAGGAGAAAGAAGTTTGCGTTCCAAGCAATGGAGGTTTCTTGGGATTATTTCTCATAAGAAGCTAAAAATATATATTTTTTTAAACGGCAGATTTTCCTCATCCTTCACTTTTATATTCGTTTAATCTCCCCCTCAGTCTTGTCATTGTGTTTACATTTGTTATTTAAATGTACCTTCACACTCCATAAACTCACTGGTCCACCTTCTTTAAAAGATTTATCACGTTGTTCTTTTTGTTTCAGTCCAGCAGCCAGATCCTAACCAGCCCACACCAGAAGGCCAGCAGATGAGTCCCCTGCAAGGAGAGCCTCTCGGGGTGGTCACCAACTGGCCTCCCTCCTTGCCAGCAGCCTTACAAAAGTGGGGCACCACTCATCCTAAGAGTCCCTGCCTTACAGCTCTGGACAACGCTGGCAAACCCGTCTACACACTTACCTACGGTAGGCTTCAACCTGTGATTAACGGACTGAATAGTCAATTTGTTCGGAAAACAAGTTGAAGTTTATTGTCATTCATTGTCATGTGGTACATGAAGTGGAACAAAATTGTGTACTCACGGCCCCAGTTACACCCAAAAATATCAAAAATATAAAGTATAGAAAGAAATAGTATAAGGATCTAAGATATACACTAAGGTATACGTTAAATGAATGCTAAAATATATACGCTAAACACTAATAATGTAAAACAATATGGCGTATCAACAGCAGCCCGAACATGAGTCTGTGGTGAGCAGATAGATATGAATGAATACAGCAGCATGAGATAATCAGCAGCATGAGATCAGCAGCACAGATACGTCACATATCACCAATTAAAGTGGCATTACAGTTTTTTTTTTTTTTTTTTTTTTAAACAGTATCCGTTCTTCTCATTCAGTGCTTCTTTTTTAAGCAGCACCAATATTATTGTTGTTTTTTGGATTAAAATTATTATCTGTGGATCAGAACTTGTAAAATTGAAGAATATGTAGTTGACTGTGTGTTTTTTTAACTTCTGTAGGTAAACTGTGGACACGCAGTCAGAAACTGGCCTACACTCTGCTTAACAAGCTGAGCTCCAGAAATGAGCCTTTGCTGATCCCTGGAGACAGAGTAAGTCACGAGAGGAAACTGTGTGTTCAGTCGTGATCTGATTATCAAATCGCTTCTGATCCGAATAACCAACAAATGCGAAGAAGTGAGGAATGAAGTGCTGATCTTTGCAGCTGAATGCATATCTGAACATTTTTATATCCATAAGGCTGTAAAGTAAATGTGCTGTTGGCTTGTTTGATCCAGCTCCAAGCTTCAATAAAGGAAAAATTCTGGGTTTTATGTTGGAGTGCATGTCAAACCTCAATCATCAAACTTGCTGTTTGCTTGTTTTTATCTTTCTGCTCATCTAACCATCTTGCTTTCAGGTTGCACTCGTTTTTCCCAACAGCGACCCAGTGATGTTCATGGTGGCCTTCTACGGCTGCCTTCTGGCAGAGCTGGTACCAGTTCCCATTGAAGTTCCACTGACCAGAAAGGTAAAGCCACTTACTGGGTCTTCTGAGTGACTTTTGACAGGTTTGTGCTGACCCCTGCTGGACACCTGAATGTTAAACATGTGAAGGACCTTTAAGATGTTTTTCACATGAAAACTACATTATATTTATACTTGTCAGTGTGTTTTATAGTATTTACTGGTAAATGTTACCGTATTTTTCAGACTATAAGGCACACTTGAAATCCTTTAATTTTCTCAAAAATCAACAGTGAGCCTTATAATCAGGTGCGTCTTATGTATGAAAACTGACCCACTCATTCATATTGCACCTTACAATCCGGTGCACCTTATAGTCTGAAAAAATACAGTATTTAAGAGAAACTAGTTTATAGATAATGCCACCATCTAAACCCAGCAGCAAACGTTGTCAGGACTGTTTGCTTTCAGATATATTGTGTAGCATCTTCCAGCTCGCCCATCAGCTCAAACCTAACTATATTTATCCACGTTAGCTACGCAAGCTGAATACTAATGTGGGTTTTTGATTGCCTTTATGAGCACGCTGTTGGTGCACACTGTGCTGTAATCAGTGAGAGCTGAGTGAAGTGAGATGAGTGATTTTACTCAAAATATTAGATGACGAGCCAACTGTTCTCGAGTCAGAAACTCATTTTCTCATTCTGACAGCTCTTATCAATCATCCCCTTTGTTTCCACCGTCCTTTTCTTTATTTCTCTTATTTACCTCTGCCAATTCCTTAGTCTTTGTGAGCTATGTCGTTTGCTCAGCGTGAGTGTAAGTTAATTTACACAGATATGAGTGAGGGAGTGTCAGATCTCAGGCGTGGTTCTCGCCTCAGTCTGCGTTTGATGCACAGCAGTGGCGTTTTTAAAAGTGATGGGCTGTCACTCTGCCTGCTTACCTGCTGCTGCTTTAATGTGAACGGCTCTGAGGTGTTTTCTTCCTCCATCAGAGTTCCTCCCCCCATCTAGTGTCATTTTCTGCATTCTGTCAAATGTGTGTTTTCCCAAAGTTTGTCCTGCTCCGACTTTGATCGTCGTGAAGAGTTTATTGTCGTGCTTGGCAAAGTTTTAAAATCTCAAACTTCTCATCGTTCTCGTTGTGCCAGGATGCAGGAAGCCAACAGATTGGCTTTTTGTTGGGCAGCTGCGGGGTCACGTTGGCACTGACCACTGATGCTTGTCAGAAAGGCCTTCCCAAAGCACAGACAGGAGAGGTAGTCACTTTCAAAGGTACGGCTTGTTTTGCCTGCATTTGACCGTGAGGATAGTTTCTTTTTGGCTTCAAGGGATTTTGTATCTCTGTCTCTGCAGGCTGGCCACGGTTGTTGTGGTTTGTGACAGATGGAAAGCATGTTGCAAAGCCTCCAAAAGATTGGTACCCTTCAATACGGGAGGCCGGCAATGATATAGCCTATATAGAAGTAAGTGCAGTTTCACAAAATATTATGGAGCATCTGACTTTTTTATGTGCATTTTATATCAAGAAGTGGACTACTAATATTTTTATGCTACTAAATTTAACGTTATCATATTTAAAAGCCATTGTGTTTTTTAAATGTTTTTTTTAATCCAGTATAAAACCAGCAAAGAAGGAAGCACCATGGGAATCACTGTGTCTCATTCAGCCATGCTGGCTCATTGTCAAGCCCTCACACAAGCCTGCGGCTACACAGAAGGTGAGAAGGACTCTGCATACTTCAAGTTACTGAGCTTTTATCAGACCCTTTATTTTTTTTTATTCATTACCCTGGCACGGATAGTTTTAGGAAGAGAGTAGAACGATGATCCCTAAAGATGCAGGCTTCAGAATTTGTAAATACATTTAAGAAAAATTCCACGAAAATAAACTGCAGACATAAGAGTTTGCTTATTTTTGTCTTTCTTAATACAGCAAATCAAATAGCACAACTTGTTCATTAAATAACTTTTTAATATGCATTCCATAATCTAACCCCTCCCCACATTAAAAAGTAGCTCATGTACGCTCTCAGGTGTAATCAGTTTGATAAATGGGTCTGTTCAGTTGGTTATGTTTCAGGCTGTCGGACCTGGGTCAGCATAGTTGAAAAAGAACAAGAACATAAAGTACTTTTTTCCTCTCCAGTGTCCCAGTTTTACTCTAAATAGCTCCTGACGGGACCAGTAGACAGAAGTTGTTCTTCAGATCCGTTTCTAAAACTTAATTTGGATCCTCTGTTCATTGTAGGCTTCTCTGATACAGAAATGACTCTGTGTTACAGAACATTTTGTTTGTGAAGTGAGCAATGAACATTTTAGATTAAGTGTATCAAATCTTGTTTACACTACTCATCAAAACATAATATTTTTTCTGATCTTTTTTGATTTGTAGCTGAGACCATAACAAATGTCCTGGATTTCAAGCGGGAAGCAGGATTATGGCACGGCGTTCTTACTGTAAGTTGTCTCCAAACTCTTCAATAAAGCCCAAGGGACTGGGTTTAAGTTCCAGTTCAAGTAAATGTTATTGTCATTACCATCTCATGTGGGACATGAGGTGGAACGAAATTATGTACACAGGGTCCCAATTGCACCTAAAAATAGCAAAATATAAGTATAAGAAGAAAGAGTAAACAATGATGTAAGATATACACTAAGATGTACGCCAAAATAAATGCCAAATGGTACGCTAAAAGATCCAAGATATACGCTAAACACTAATAATATAAAACAATACGGCGTAACAACAGCAGCCCGAACATGAGTCTGTGGTGAGCAGATGGGTATGAATGAATAAAGAGCCAGGATTGGAAATAAATGATTTCTGGTACAGGTTTTGTTACAGTCACTGATTCCTGGTTTACAAACTTCAGACAGTCATTAACTTTATATATACTGAACATATTGGTAAATGTATTTTTAAAAACTCCGCAAAATTGTTTTCGGTGCGTTCCAACAAAACAAATTTATGCTCTCAGTTTGCTGATAGGAGGTCTGATTTACATGGATCTTGTATGAGAGCTGTATCAAAATGCAAAGTGATTCAAGCTAATAGTCCTGAAGGTCTAAACGATCCCATCTCATAAATGAGTTTCAATCTCGTACACAAAGTAAAACTGCTTCGCATAACACACAGATTTTACACACTACACATAACGTGCTGATGCATGTCTGGATTCCTACACTGACAGCATGGAAGCAACAACCAACACATTTTTCACTCTTATTATTTGTTTATAGTGACATCATGCACAGTAAACAGACATGCAGACATGTTTTGAAGCTTATCTCACGTTTTTTCTTCTTTCATTTCAGAGTGTTATGAATCGGATGCATGTGATCAGCATTCCGTACTCCTTGATGAAAGTCAACCCCCTGTCCTGGATACAGAAGGTTCACATGTACAAAGGTAGCTTCATTTTTGTCACTACCGTATTTTCCGGACTATAAGTCACACTTTTTTCATAGTTTGGCCAGTCCTGCGATGTATATTCCGAAGCGACTTTTATACTTTTTTTTTTCCATTCATGACACAATTTTTGACTGACGCATTAAATGTTCATTCGTACTGACGTGAACCAAAGACTAAACATTAGCATTTGCAGCCACGAGAGGGCCCTCTAGGCTTTAGACAACTATATGTTGTTCCTCTTCTGCTAACCACTACCCCTATCTTCCTCCGAAGTTGGCAGAGTTGTTCAGAAGTGACACTGAGGATGGTAACTTGCTTGTCGGACTTGTTGGCTTGTTATGTTAATTAAGCCTGTTCAGGATCCCAGGTATGTTCTGTTTGCAAACATATAACCGTCGGGAGCACGAGTCCACGGGGAAGGTGTGCAACCTGTGTGTCTCTGCTGTGACGGACACAGACTCGGAAAAGGAAGGGAGGGGGTGGGGGGAGGTGTCTTGTTGTTCCCTATCACTACAGTACATCTTCAGTGAGACATGAGTGAGACCAAGCAAGAGCAGCTTGTTTAGTTTAAATAATAAAGCATGATCTGAACCAAGCCTTTACTCCAGTACCTTGGCGACCACTGAGCGGGCCAGGCCACCGGGAAATGTCCCGGCGCTCCCGATGGACAGTCCACCCTATTGTATTTTCAGATTTAATGTCTGTTCTTGCACTTTGTGAAAGACACGTCTAAATAAATGAGACTTATACTACGAAGCAACTTGTTTTTTTTCCTCTTCATGATGCATTTTTTGTCTGATGCAACCTCAAGAGTGACGTATAATCAGCTCTTGTAAATGAGTCCTCGAGGCTCAATGGGATTTACCTGTCTAAATAAAGGTTGAATGAAAAAATAATCTGAAAAATACGGTAATTGCTCTGATGTGTCTTGGAATATATGGTGAAGGATTTACAGCCTCCCTAATTTTGTCCAAACTGTTAGAATAAACTTTTTTTTTTAATTGCTTAATCATTTTAAAAATCTTGGCCCTATTGTTTGACTTTCAACTGTTTTTGTAACAGTTTTGATAATCACTGAAAATTACATAGTCGATATGAATAAAAGCAAGAATTTGACAGTTTTGTCAACCCAGTGGAGGTAAAGAATATAAAGCTCTTGGTGAGACAAAAAATAATCATCCTGTGTGTGTTTCAACTTCTGTCGAGCCACCTTTCGACACACGATTCTGACTCTGCTGTCAGATGTCATATCCTGTGATTTGCTGTCAAATTGGATGAAAGTGGGTATTCTGTTATTAATTCTCTTTGTGTCTGTATCATTTACGTAGCACGGGTAGCTGTGGTGAAGTCGCGAGACATGCACTGGTCTCTGCTGGCCCAGAGAGACCAGAGGGACATCAGCCTGAGCTCTCTGAGGATGCTGATCGTAGCTGACGGAGCTAACCCATGTGAGTGCATCTGCAGAGACACGTTCAGTTAAAAACACCCTGGAGCCTCTGGACGTTGGGATTTGTTTGCATACTTATTTGAATGGCTTTGTGGGTGTGTGTTACCGCAGGGTCGATATCCTCCTGCGATGCCTTCCTCAATGTGTTTCAGTCACGTGGGCTGCGGCCTGAGGTGATCTGTCCATGTGCCAGCTCCTCAGAAGCTATGACTGTCGCCATCCGCAGGTTAGCATCCGTTACTGCACCTTAACAAACAAACAAAACAAAACAAAAAATGCCTCAGAATGCCTATGAGCTACATCCTGCAGGAAGGAAATTAGGTTTGTTTTTCCGCACAGCGTCTGTCTAAATTCACCGCTTTCTGTTGATCACAGAGCTCAGTTGTAGAGGAGGATTAGGATGAGAGACACAATAAACAAACAAACTTCAAGTGGAGGAGCTAGAACTGCTTTGGCAAAGAAAATAAAATAGTTTCACATGCACCTTATAGATGTAATAAATAAAGCCAGTGAATGGACAGGAAAAAAAATAAAATAAATTAAATGGCACCATTGATCTAATGGCTGTGGACAGCTTTCTTGATTTGTTCAGAAACGAGTGAACTGCTGCTACAGTAATGCGTCTTGTTTATGTGTCCTACAGACCTCCAGAAATGGGCGTTCCTCCTCCAGGCAAGGCAGTGCTGTCTATGAGTGGTCTGAGTCACAGTGTGATCCGCGTGGACACGGAGGAGAAACTCTCCGTCCTTACGGTGCAGGATGTGGGGCAGGTCATGCCTGCAGGTACAAGCTGCCTAACGAGCTTTTACTGTCGTTAACGGCTTCAGTGGTGCAGAAGAAGAGATGTTTCTGAAATATCAATCCATAATGTTGTAACTAGTTTATGAAAGGGTAAAATAGCAGGTATCATGTTTATTCTGAGGTCTTTCATCTGCTTCCTTCGTTTATCAGAGCTGTGAAGTGTTTTGTCTTGAACTATGTAAACCATCCCCTCATTCTTCTGTTTCCATTTTGCATTCCCAGCTGTTGTTTGCGTGGTGCGAGTGGAGGGGACGCCTTATCTCTGTAAAACAGACGAGGTTGGAGAAATCTGTGTGAGTTTAGGTTGCAGTGGTTTAGCGTATTACGGCCTCCCAGGCATGACCAAGAACATCTTTGAGGTAAATGTGTATTCAGGTGTGAGTATGCTGTTTTTTTCCCTACAAAAAAATAAATAAAAAGCTATTTGTAACGCTTAAAATGATATAATTCACTGTTTATTAAAATATGTGCTGCTGGAGAAACTGTTGGCATTTTAATAAACATTATCAATAAATTCTTCCCAGAAATTATCGTCATAAGATCTTATGTTTCGTTGTCTGTTGTTAATATAGCTTTGTATGTTTTATTTGGTGGTGTTTTCTGTGATTTTTGATGTTAGATGCAGTTTTTAATAGTGTTGCGTTTTATTGCAGACTATCCCTGTAAAATCATCCGGAGTTCCTATAAGCGACAGAACTTTCACCAGAACTTCACTGCTGGGCTTTGTGGGACCAGTAAGTTCCACCTCATTAAATTCTGAGAGTTTTAAACGATGCTTTTGTACTTTTATAATGGTTAGCTTTAAAGATGTAATCCTCAACTCTATCTGGTGCTAACAGAGCTCCGAAGGATACATTTGGACATGTTTAATGCAAATGCACTTAGTTTACCAGCAACTTATTCACCCACAAAAGTTTCTCCTAATTTCCTAATTAAGTAATTTTACTGAAATCATAAAAATCAAGCTTCTTATGATCCTCTGATGCTCGTAGTTGTGGTTACATTCCTGCTGTCCGTTAGACAAGTGGAAAACTCACGATCCTTTACTGATTTTTCTGTGGAAACTTTCCATTCTTCAGGTACAGATTCTATAGTTTAAATTTGAGCTTACAGGAACACATTAATTTAGGAAGAGGTGTTACTTGTTAAATAAATCACATTTATATTAGTACATTTTGAATTAGAGAAAGAGAGACTGGTTTTCTAACTGTGTGTTTCCTCTCAGGACAATCTTGTGTTTGTTGTTGGGAAGATGGATGGGCTCATGGTCGTCAGTGGGCGGAGACATAATGCTGATGATGTGGTCGCCACGGCTCTGGCTGTAGAGCCCATGAAGTTTGTGTACAGGGGAAGGTAAAAGAAGAAGAAGCTTAACAGCATAAAACATTTTATACATCTGTGTCCGTTAAATCGAGAGTTTACAGACTTTATTGATGGTTTTACTCAGCACCTGTTGGTGATCTGAGCAGTCCAGCCGTAATGGTTTTGTGTTGTGTTCCTTCAGGATAGCAGTGTTTTCTGTGTCTGTGCTTCACGATGAGAGGATTGTTGTGGTGGCAGAGCAGAGGCCAGACGCTTCAGAGGAGGACAGCTTCCAGTGGATGAGCCGCGTCCTTCAGGTATTTGTCAATAAGAACTAAACTTCTGCAAATATTACATTTAAAGAAATCCTCACATCTGGGACTGGGTAATGAGCTGCATTATTCTTAACATACTGTAGAAGCTGAAATGTAGCTACAACTGGTTTTTATTGATACTAAGATGGAAAACATAAATTAAACTAGAGAAATTGCATTTCCTACGAAAATGCAGTGTGAATGCTTATTGCTAAAGAACCTGCTGAAACAGCTGAAATTAACTAAGAACTCATGTTGAAATGTAGCTGAAATGGAAGAACAACCCTACATTAGCAGAAGAAAACAGAAAGAACACATATTTGCTGAATTAATTTTAAATAAGCAGAAATGAGCACAAAAATCAGAGAACAGCTAAAAAAATGCTGAAGTTAGCAAAAAATAGTTGAAAAGTATCTGAAACTCAGAAAGAAGCTTAAACTACCAGAAGGAAGCGGAAAGAGCTGAAATGAGCTTAAAAAAAGTGGAATTAGCTGAAAAGGCTAAAATGAGCTTTAAACAGCTAAATAGTAGCTGAAAGAGCAGAATAAGTTGAAACTAGCAGAAAAAGCTAAAAGGAGCATAACACACTGAAATTACCATAAAGAAGTTAAGTAGGCTTAAAGTAGCAGCAATTAAAATGGAAAAACTTGAATTTATCTGAAAACAGCTGAAATTAACTAAAAAGGTAGCTGGAAAGGTAGCAGAAGGAAATCATGTTTGCTGAAAGAAGCAGAAATGAGCTAAAAAAGTGGAAATTATCTGAAAAAAGCTGAAATTGGCAACAACAAAAACAGCTGAAAAGAGCTAAATAAGCAGAAAGAAGCTGAAATTACAAGAAGGAAGAGGTGAGAGCACATTTTTGCTGAATTAGGTAGATTTTTTTAAATGAGTGCAGCAAATGTGGAATTTATTGAAAAAGCTTAAATTGGCATAAAATAGTGATATACCATTAGAAAAAGCTGAAACTTTCAGAAATTAGCTGAAAGGAGCAGAACAAGCTGAAATTAGAAGAAGCACAAACATTTTGTAGCTAGCAGAGAGCATCTGAAAGGAGCACAAAACAGCTGAAAATAGTTGAAAATAAATTATTAGGTTGTAAACAGATCTAAAGATTTGAAGGATGTAAAATGAGCTCAATTTATTTTCTATGAGAAAAAAGTGGCAGAAAAGGCTAAATATTTCAAAAAGCTAAAATTGCACCAATACCAAAAGTCATAGCAGGATTATCCTGAAAGAGCTGAACGTTTTGATATGATTTGTTGAAATAACTTGAAAACAGCGGGACGAGAATCGCGCCAAAAAACATATGGAAGAAAAATGGATCACAATAGTGTGAATTCTTCATAAACATTCACACTATTATATTGCATGCATTAAAAATATATATATATATTTTTATTGATGTTTGCAAAAATCTGAATGTTTTGTTTTATAGTCTAGCTAAAAAGAAAAAAAAATGTCTAAACTTTATTTATAATCAAATTAATATATTTACAGAGTCCAATAAATCACCAAACCTTGTGTTTCCAGGCTATAGACAGCATCCACCAGGTCGGGGTGTACTGCCTGGCTCTGGTGCCTGCCAACATTCTTCCTAAAACTCCCCTGGGTGGGATCCACATATCTGAGACCAAACAGCGCTTCCTGGAGGGATCTCTGCACCCTTGCAACGTCCTCATGTGCCCTCACACGTGTGTCACTAACCTGCCCAAACCAAGACAAAAACAGCCAGGTATAACCGCTCATCCAGACCCAGAGAATAAAAGATATTTATATCATGCATATGTTTCTGTTGATGTTGACCTCTTTAACACAAACGATGATGTTCTGGACAGAGGTTGGTCCTGCTTCTATGATAGTGGGCAACCTGGTGGCAGGAAAGAGGATAGCACAAGCCTGTGGGAGAGACCTGGGGCAACCCGAGGACAATGACCAGGCACGTAAGGTAGACGGTCATCTTCATTTCACCCACTTTGCACATGCACACTGCAGATAATAATAATAATAATAAACTTTATTTCTATAGCACCTTCCAACAACGCCTTGCATTGACCAAGGTGCTTCACAAGACAAAACAAGATTAAAAACAGGACACAATACATCAGTGCAAATTAAAAAACACAGCGAGAATAAAAGAAGGTAAAAGAGATAAAATAAAAAAATAAATAGTAAATACTAAACTACTAAAAGTTAAACATTAAAAGCCCTTTTAAATAAGTATGTTTTCAGTTTGGCTTTGAACAGAACCAGATCAGAGATGGCACGCAGCTCATAGGGAAGAGTATTCCAGGCTGTTGGGCCTGCAACAGAAAAGGACCGGTCCCCCCATAGTTTGCACCTTGAGCGTGGCACCTCCAGCAGATTTTGACCAGCAGACCGTAAAGCTCTGCTGGGCTGGTGGACTTTCAAAAGTTCTGAAATATAAGGTGGTGCAAGGCCATTCAAAGCTTTAAAAACAAACAGTAGCAGCTTGAACTGTATCCTAAACTGAACCGGGAGCCAGTGTAAAGAAGAAAGGACAGGAGTGATATGTTCATATTTATGTGTGTTAGTCAACAAGCGAGCAGCAGAGTTTTGTACAAGCTGTAAACGGGAGATAGAAGATTGATTAATACCCACATATAAGGCGTTACAGTAATCAAGCCTAGAGCTCACAAAGGCATGGATGGCCTTCTCCAGATCACTACGGCTAAGGAGTGATTTTACTTTGGAAAGCAGACGGAGCTGAAAGAAGCTGGTTTTCACAACAGAACTGATCTGTTTGTCTAGCTTTAAGTTGCAGTCAAGCTCCACTCCTAGATTTTTTACCACCTGGTTGGCGTGGGGGAGCGGAAAACCTAGACTGGGAGAGATGTTGCATGAATTACTGGAAGCACCAAATAAAATCCATTCAGTTTTATCGTTATTGAGGTGGAGAAAATTCTGAGACAGCCAGTGCTTAATGTCATTTAAGCAGCTGGCAATAGAGTTGAAACCGAGTGAGGAACTGGGAGTGACCGGCAGATAGATTTGTAGATCATCTGCATACAGATGAAAAGACAGATTATGGCGTGCAATGATGGGTCCTAATGGTAGCATGTAAAGTGAGAAGAGAACAGGCCCCAGAATGGAGCCCCAGATGCAGGGAAGAATCCATATCTGAGAGAGTAAAATCTGAGATGCTCTCACCGAGCAGAGGGAGTAATTTTTTCATCAGTAGCGTTCCTAAATGAGGAGTTCAGAAGCAATGCACGCATTCTGAATCCATTGTTGTTGTAAACAGCAGCTAAGTGGTTGCATTTGAGAGGATGTAAAGTTTTTAAAACAATGTGAAGTTAACTATTCGCTGGCATTGGCTAATATTCATATATTCATCTGAAAGTGAATGGAGTTGTGTATTGGGTCAACTGGAGGAAGCTAAAAAAGTACAATTTGTTTCAGTCCTGTTGCAAATGAACATAATATCCACGGTTACTAATTTTTAGTGCTAATTTGTATCCAAGTGTATATATTTTTACAATTCTTTCCAAATGAAACCTCTAGCTTTGTGTTATGTCTCAGATTTTTACTCTATCATTCATTTCCATCTTCATGTACGCTGAGCCTCGTCGTGTCTGTCATTAGCCTGAAGGTCAACAACCTGTGCTGTTCCATCTGTGTGGAACTCATTTTTATGTTGGACATAATTTTTCTCTCTAGTTTTACTGGAGTTAAACGAGTCTGTCTTTGTCCAACAGTTCCTCTACATGCATGATGTGCTACAGTGGAGAGCACAGGCAACTCCCGACCATCCTCTGTTCCTCGTCCTCAACGCTAAGGTACAGCTCACACATGAGCTCAGTCCAAAATTTTCTAATTATAAGAAAGAGTTCAGTCATAAAACAAATACATTTTTATGAATTATCTGCTATATTTATTACGTTTGCAGACCTTAAGAAATAAAATAAGAAATGGTCTTTTAATGCCCGCAAAAGATTTTAAAATCTGTGTTGCATCATTTTCCTCCTTTAAAAGCTCTTTAGTGAAAAGTTTTAAAAGAAAGTGTTTTTACAAATAAACATTTTTGCTTAATAAAACCTGTTCTGATTAGCTCCAACATGCATTATTGAGTGTTTTTTTTTAAAGTCTCTTTATTTTTAAGTGTTTTTGTTTCAGGGCTGCTTCCAGGGAGGGGCTAGGGGGGGCAATGTCCCCTTCTATTAATATGCTAGCACCCCCACTGACTCCCTTCTGGCCAGATAGTCTTATTTACATAATAGTACAGTAGTCCCTCACTACTTCGCGGTTCGTTTATCTCGGACTCGCTCTATCGCGGTTTTTCAAAATAAGATTGCACATGATGCACAATTGGCTGATTGATGCATGAAGTGCACGATTGGCATGAGATTTTTATTTCAAATAAATTATTTTAAATTATTTAGCATCTTTGTGCAGCCCATACTGCTGGATAAACTTCCTGCTGCAGCTGATCAGCTGTTCTCCATGCAGAGTGGAGAAGTGGGCGTGGCCAAGAGCGCTTGCAGATGGCAAAGAGAAAGAGCAGAGGAGGCAGAGCTGCATTCATGACATTCTGTGCTTTTTTAGAGCATTTAGAGTTTAGAAACATTGTTTAGAATATTGCAAAAGTGTGGGAAGGTTTAAAACACCATATATATATATATATATATATATATATATATATATATATATATAAAATAAACTACTACTTATCTGTACTACAATTCCTACTTGCGATTTTTCACGTATCGCGGGGGCTTCAGGGTACAGATCCCCCGCAATGAACAAGGGACTACTGTATATGAGATTGCAATTTTCCTGGTTTGATACGTCTTCTCTGCACCATTTTTAAATTCAGCTCAGTTTCAGATACATCATGTCTCGTTTATTTTCCAGCTAAATAAATAAAATAAAATCAGGGTTTATTATCACATGAACAAAACAAGTCTGTAGACAAAAGCTGTTTGTGATTTTCCTTCAGGGCACAGTGGCCAGCACAGCTTCTTGTCTGCAGCTGCACAAGCGAGCGGAGCGTGTAGCGGCAGCACTGATGGGACGCCTAAACACTGGAGACCACGTAGCACTCGTCTACCCGCCAGGTAAAATGTCCTGCTCATCACTCTGTTAGTTCAACTTATTTGTATACAGTTTTGCAGATATTCTCAATCTGTTTTTTATTATGAACTGATTTTTAGCTGAAAGTTGTAATATTTATGCACAGGAATCGATTTGATTGCAACTTTCTATGGCTGCCTGTATGCTGGGTGTGTCCCTGTCACTGTCAGACCCCCGCACCCACAAAACCTGGCCACCACCCTGCCCACTGTCAAAATGATTGTTGAGGTAATGGTCTGTTTGTTACACGAGCTTTGAAATGTTTATTTGCTCATGCTCGACAGAGATTTTACAGTCAATAATCCCTGTGAACGTGATCGCTCTGCTCTGTGTTTCAGCAGTTTTACAAGTGCTGTAAAACTCCAGTTTGTGTGTGTGTGTGTTGCAGGTCAGTAAGTCTGTGTGTATCTTGACGACCCAAGCAATAACGAAGCTGCTGAAATCCAAAGAGGCTGCTGCTGCTGTGGACATCAAGAGTTGGCCCACAGTCCTGGACACAGGTTCAGTTATAAACACAACATGCTTCATTTAGTATGCTCATCATTGTTAGAGCAGATTGGGTTTTCAGTGAAACCCGTCTTTACTTTCTGCTCTTTGCCTCTCAGATGACCTCCCCAGGAAGAAGAACCCCCAGATATATAAACCTCCAACTCCAGAGATGTTGGCTTACCTGGACTTCAGTGTGTCCACCACTGGCATCCTAGCAGGAGTCAAAGTATGATCAAACGTGCAGTCTTTAATAGATGCTAATTACCTTAGCTTTCTCCACAGGCTCTGTTTTCACGCTTGTTTTCTGTCTGGTCTAGATGTCTCATGCAGCCACCAGTGCTTTGTGTCGCTCCATTAAGCTGCAGTGTGAGCTCTATCCTTCCCGGCAGATCGCCATCTGTCTGGACCCCTACTGCGGTCTGGGCTTGGCCCTCTGGTGCCTGTGCAGGTAAACCAGCAGCTCTAATCAAATGAACAACAGATGAATTAAATCAAATGTTTCTTTTCCTCCTCCTTGCTCCCACTCATTGTCTTCTTGCTGGTACTTCTGTCTGTTTTAGTGTTTACTCGGGCCACCAGTCGATCCTCGTTCCACCTCTGGAGTTGGAGAGTAATGCGTCTCTCTGGCTCACTGCTGTCAGCCAGTATAAAGTACGAGTCTCCTTCTGCTCATATTCAGTCATGGAGATGTGCACCAAGGGCCTGGGCTCGCAGACAGAAGCTCTACGGGTCGGTTTGTTTTCCCGTTTACAGAAATTTGAATATGCAGCAATTTTCTACACAAACATTTACAGCATTAGCTCCTTTTTACTCTTTGGATTCTTATTCAACATTTATAACTTGTTTATGTTGTGTTTAAACACGTTTTTTTTAACATACTGCACACCTAAGCTGATCTGCAAAACCAACCTCCTGATGAGTCATATTTAAAATATAAATATAAGCATCATTAAAAACTTTTTGACAGGGTTCTCAGTGTGAAATATCTTAGTTTGTTTCTTTGTCTTGAGAATGGGATTTCTGAAATAGAGAAAATCTAAGAAGGAACATAAATTTGATGAGAAACGACATTTATCTGGTGCTTTTCACATGCAGCTATTGCAACTCCTGCAATTTAGTTTTTATATTCCTTTACAGGTCATAACTTTCGCTGTTATAACCCGTCTTTCTTTTCCTTTTTTCAGCTGCGAAATGTGAATCTGTCCTGTGTGCGCACATGCATGGTGGTAGCAGAGGAGAGGCCTCGTATATCCCTCACTCAAACCTTCTCAAAGATCTTCAAAGACCTGGGGCTTTCGCCACGAGCTGTTAGCACCACCTTCGGCTGCAGAGTGAACGTGGCCATCTGTTTGCAGGTAAGCAGCTGGGAAAGGATAACCAGAGACAGGAGGGATGGTGAAAACTTCTTTAAAAAAAAACCTTCTTGTGCCCAGTTTAAATAAAATAACAGGAGTGGGAGCTCTTTGAGTAAGTCTATGCTGGTCAACAGAGGAGCAAAAGTCAACCAGCTGTAGATGGATGGATGGGTGGATGGATGGATGGATACTTACTTTACCTACTTACTTTAATTACTTTCCATTCAACCTTTATTTATACAGGCCCATTGAGCCTTGGGGACTCATTTACAAGAGAGACCTGGTTTTAACAAAGAGTGATGACAACAGTGAACAACAACGACAATAATAGACAATTATAAAGGATGCGTACAAATTCAGAATAACAAGTGAAAATAAAATGGCATTTAAACAAATGTAACAAAAATAAACAAAAAACAGCTAGGTTGTAAGTCGATGTAGAAAACTAAAAACAGGAACATGTCTGTATTGGTTTTTGTCAGGAACTTAGATGTTTGAAGCCACTTAGAGAGGTCAAGGTCGAGAGCTTCAGATCTTTTTGAAAGATATTCCAGGGAACAGGAGCGGAGTAGGAGAAGGCCCTTTTGCCAAGTTCAGTCCTCACTGAGGAAACACTGCATGTAATTTGACTTACTTTACTTACTTATGGTACTTATATACTTACTTATTTACTTTACTTATGGTACTTACTTTTCTTACATACTTTACCTAATTACTTTACTTAATTAATTACTTTACTTACTTATTTATTTTACTACTTACTTACTTGATTAATCCCAGGGGGGTCATTCATGGCATCCAGTAGCATTTTCCAATTGTACAGGGGGAAAAAAAAATAAGCAGAATACACAAATTTGAAAAAAGACAAAAATGCACATGCACAAGGTGGTAGGGAGTACTACATTCACCAATAACCCATATATACATGTACATACATACACATCTAAGCATACACATATGCATTTGTACATGTATATCTGTACATGCACATACACAAGTGTCTGGGGTGCTGCAGATTTATAACGCTCTATTTTTACTGTACGGGGATGAGTTTAACAGTTTGATGGCTTGAGGGACAAAGGAAAATTAAATTATTATTATTGTGTTAATGTAAAGAACAAGTATTTAAAATCTGCTACCAGTAGTTACTTGAAATGGATCATACAAACTTTTTAAAAAAATAGGATTATAATGTTTAGTCTTTTTTACACCTGATAGTGAATAGCTCGTAGAATAACCAAGAGCGTTTTAATATTTTTTCATGTTTTGAATGTTGTTTTTATCAGTAATTCAAAACTTTTTGAGTAAAGCACTCACCGTTTCTCAGATGAACTGTTAATGTACCCGTTTTCTCCCCTCAACCCATTTGTTGTTGTCTCCCATTTACTGTATATGGATACATACATATATATCTTTCTCTGTCCTGCCCTGTCCCGTCAGCCCAACAGGTTAGGGAAACTGGCTGAGCAGGTACTGTGGGATAAGAGTGGCCCTTTGCTCTGCTGCTGAGCCTGTGTTTGCGTTTGTGTATTTTTATTTGTATTGCATGATGTTTGAACCTGCTTCGCTTCAGTTCACACACACATTCATTCTCCTTTGTTTTGTTTTTCAGATAGATCTCGGCTTTGCTTTTATTTTAGCTGATTCTTCCTTGGCTTTTATCCATTCTTTACGAGGATTTACTGACAACAATACAATATTATATTGTACTGTGAGTTAGCAGGATCAACTCTGCAAACAGGAAGGTCCCAAAATGCCAAATTAAAAAGTATATTTAAATACCTGCTATGTTTTTTCGTCATGCACTAAAATGTTATCATTCTTAGGTTTTATGTAGAATTATTATTTATTTATTTTTTCAAACAGTTCATTCAGTTAAATCGGCCCTTTCTGTCTCTGTGACCTCACAGTACAACGACTGCCATCTTTTGTTCCATCCATAGACTGGCAAAGAAGCGATGGAAAACATAATTTGCTGCAACAAGATTTTCAGCAGTAATGATGACGAATCCAACCACAGATGGAGTCGATATGTTCTGGAGAAATGGTCATTTAAAGTTCAGCTTCATGCCAGACGTTTAATCAAAACATATGCTGCTCAGTTTTTTTTTTCTTTTTACCTTTTTGATAAACAAACTGCAGCTGATTTATCTTTTCCTGTGAGATTCTGCTGTTTTCTTACACTTGACGACATCAGAGGAGGTGAAACGTTTGTCTTTACATGGTTCAGTCGTTACTAATGTAGCCTGGCTGGTCGGCTTCTGGCTGCCTTCTGCTTTTTCAGCAGCTGTTTCATAACCAGCTTCCACCTCGTCCCCACCCAGGCAGCACACACAGCTGAAACCTGGTAACTTAAGTCCAGTTCGGTTTGTTTCTTTTCTCTCCAGGGCACAGCTGGACCAGATCCCACCACTGTTTATTTGGACATGAGAGCTCTACGGCATGACCGGTAGGGGGCGCCATTGTAATGAAGTCAACACGAGTCATTGAATAAATTTTAGTTTTGTGGTTTATTTTATTGGAATTCAATATGTTTAAATTGTTAAATAAGAGGTGCAAGTAGATTTTAATTATTTGAAGTTAATGAAATTGCTGAACTTGTCTTGGTTTGGATCTTCAGGGTTCGCCTTGTTGAGAGAGGGTCACCACACAGCCTGCCGCTGATGGAGTCTGGGAAGGTAGAAATATGCACTAAAGCATGAGTTTGTGTTGTCAGAATGAGTGAAATGTACCTTTCTTGAACAGTTATTGTGATTCTCCTTGCGTAGATCCTCCCTGGGGTGAAGGTGATCATTGCCAACACAGAAACCAAAGGACCACTGGGAGATTCTCATCTAGGAGAGGTACGTTACAACTAATTAGCAAAAAAACTGCTGAAAGTAGAGAGAATGGAGAGAGCCCATTTTTTCTGAATTAGACTGAAAAAGTTAAAATGAGTGCAAAAAATGGGGAATTAGCTGAAAAGCTTAAATTAGCATAGACAGCTGACAGCAGAAAATCTGAAACTTGCAGAAATAAGCTGAAAGGAGCATAACAAGCTGAAATTAGCAGAAAGAAGTTAGAAGAGGCACAAAAATTGTAGTTGGCAGAAAGGATCTGAAAGGAGCACAAAACAGCTGAAATTAGCTAGAAAAAAAAAGAAAGAAGTTTTGATGTTTTTTTTTTAATGTATGATTGTTTGAAATAGTTTGAAAACTGAGGGACGAGAATCGTGCCGAAAAACATACGGAAGAAAAAAGTATCACAACAGTGTGAATGATTCATAAGCATTCACACTGTTATTGACACAGCAAAGCTGATAATTAGCTCTGTGGGAATTAAATGTACATAGCTGAATTACATGTACATACTGTAGTTGACAAAATTGTGTGACAAACAGCAATTGGGATTATTGGAAGGAGAGATGAAGCTTTATTTCTGTGCCTTTTACTACATCCACTCTAGAACCAGAAAAAGTCAGTTGTACTAGAAGAGCGTACCATTATGCTAACAACTATTCATCATTTATTTGTGTTAAAGATCTGGGTGAGCAGTCCTCACAACGCAACAGGGTACTACACAGTTTACGGAGAGGAGGCGCTGCACGCTGACCACTTCAACACCAAGCTGAGCTTCGGAGACACCCAGACGGTCTGGGCAAGGACCGGCTACCTGGGCTTCCTGCGGCGCACTGAGCTGACTGACGCCAGTGGAGGTGAGAGTGATGAATTGTTTCACCTCCTCCCGTTCTTTCTCCCATTAGTGCTTCTTTAAGTGAGAGATAAACTCACTGTGTGTTTGTGTGAACGTCCCAGAGCGCCATGATGCCCTCTACGTGGTGGGCTCTCTTGATGAGACTCTGGAGCTGAGGGGAATGAGGTATCACCCCATCGACATCGAGACTTCTGTTATTCGTTCTCACAAGAGCATAGCTGAATGGTAATAAACCTGCATCAGCTGTAATTCCAAAATTATTACTTCCTTACTTGCTTCCATTTATGAATCTTCCTTCTCCTCTTTCAGTGCGGTGTTCACTTGGACCAACCTCCTCGTGGTGGTGGTGGAGCTGGAGGGATCGGAGCAGGAGGCCCTGGACCTGGTAGCCCTGGTGACCAACGTAGTCCTGGAGGAGCACTACCTCATCGTGGGGGTGGTGGTGGTGGTGGACCCTGGTGTCATACCCATTAACTCCAGAGGGGAGAAGCAGCGCATGCACCTCAGAGATGGGTTTCTGGCTGACCAGCTGGATCCCATTTATGTGGCGTACAACATGTGAAGACCCAACTACAGGGGGGGGGGTCACCCCACCTCGTGTTTCTCGTCACCCCCACAGGAGACAACAGCCCTGGACTGTTCAGTGTCAGCAAGATCTCGACTGAAAGAAATGGAGCTGAGCTGTTTGTTTTTAACCTACGGAGAAATGAACCAAACATGGATGCAAAACCTAAAAACATGCAGGACATTTAGAGCAGGTGTAAAACTGACACACACCTCCCATCTGCCTCCTGTGATTTTAGTTTCCATCAACAAATAATAATTTCAAGGGCATTTGTCTTTAACATGAGAGTTTTGGATGTATGACCATTCCCGAGTCCTTACAGTGTGGACGCCTGAGAGCCGCACAGCAGGAGCTTCATGGTATAATACTACAGTGTGCCATTTACATAGATTATTTTGCCGTAAAAAAAAAAAAAAAAAGGATGAATGTTAAATGTGCGCTTGTGCCATAGAATAGAACTGAAGCCACTTCCTGTGTAATTGCAGGTCCTATGCTTTTCACACAGAACATCTCTTTTATGAGCAGGTCCTTCCATTACAGCTGCACCCTCCATTTCTGTTCACATCAAACTGATGCTGCGACGAAGAAGCACAGGGCCGTGGTGTTGGAAGGTTTGTGTATTTTTACTTGCTGTTATTAACCGATGTGAGTAGCTGCCCAATGTGAGTCGAACAGAACACAGACATTTTTTGTATCTACTTTAAAAAACTCTATTTTGCTGTTTGATGGACTAAATATACATCTCAGGCTTTTGAGTGAACTATGGTTTTCTAGGTACATTTGGTTCATTGTTAATAATGGTAAATATTATTTACAGTTTTATAATATTTTTACAAAACGTTTTAAACAAAACTTGCGATAATTAAATATCTATGAAATAAAAGTTTTTTTAACTCAAGACTCAGGCCTATTTCCAGTGTATTCAACAGGGTAAAAACCACTAAAACCACTTCAGAAATTGTATAATCTAGTTATTTTTAAACTTGACCATTAAAACCATTTTCTGACAGTCACTGTTGTGGGTCTGCAGACTCGCTAACACCCAGCTAAGTGAACAGTTAATACCTTTCTATATTACAATTTTAATTTAAATTCTTAGTGATGATTCTATATTTATGATTGTTTCTCTAATATTTATGAGCATCTGTTGAGAAAAAAAAAAACACCTCAATATCTTCATCTGAAATTCACTCCATGTTTAACTATGAGATGGATTATTTTAAGTAGTAGTAATACACCTATTTGTATTTTTACTTGTATGCATATATGTGCATTGAAATTAAAGTAGCTGTAAATATATTTTTTAGCTACATAAGACATATTCTATACTATTTAATTTCAGTAGCATAGGCTAGTTGCATGTTTTTTATTTTATTTTATAAAAAGCAATTAAATTACTGACATTTTTAATAAGGCAATACATAAAACTGTTTTTGTTGAATTGTTTAAGGTTTTCATAACTTCAGAAGCTCATGCCTGTAATAGAACAAGCCAACATTTTATCAAGATTTTTAAAAATACAGATCAACAGTGACGCAGATTCCACGCCAACAGATCTAATAAAAATGACAAAAAAACAAAACATAAATATTATTTATAATGACACAAGCAGCAGTCTTAAAAATAGTCGCAATATTGACAGTAGAAAGCAATTCATACTTTCTCAGTAGATGACAGTGGCATTTGCTTCAACATTTTGTATAATTATCTTTCCATGACCCAGACTCAGTTTGTGAGCATACTGTATGATGCTCAGGTTTTTGTTTTTCCAAATGCAAACTTCCGTTGGGAAGTAAAGCCACACATAGGCCTGTCACGATAACAAATTTTGCTGGGCGATTAATTGTCTCAGAAATTATTGTTATTAATTAGTAATTATTGTCAAATTTAAGAAGAAAAGGTTAATTTTTGTGTTTAGTACCTTTTTACAACCACCGAATGGCAGTATAAGACAAACAAAGGATGGATAGTGAGTAAGCAAGCAGCATGTCTCTTTAAGAAAAATGGGAGGGATGTCCCTTGACGTGACACGGGCTGTCTCTTGGTCTTGTTTTTTGGTTCTCAAAATGGCAGACGCTCGGTGTAGTTGAGCTCTTTAGCATAGCATTTTTCACGCAACGCTTTTAATAAAAAAATCAGTAAACAATTTCTCAGCTTCTTTTTGCAGAGAAAAACAACCTTTTAGACAAAGGCACGGGTTTCAACCGTGAATTTTGGAGCTTTGGTAAGACCGAGGTTTTTTTCCCCGAGGTCGGCCTGTTAGCCTAGCTCGTAGCTTAGCTGCTTTTAACGATCCAAAAACACAATTTTGGACTTAAAACAGATTTCAAAAGAATATAGAAAGGGAGGGGTCAGTGAAAAGCACCAGAGTTGAGCCTTTTGTCATTCAGTGTCTTCAGTAGAAAAGACACGAAGAAACGATAAAGCCGAGAAATGAAAATGAGGCAGATAATTTTCATTGATCATGCGATTAATTGATTTATTGTTTATCGCAACAGGCCTAGGCACACACCTGGCTTACATTGTGCAGCGTCTCACATCAGGTAATGACTTTTCTCTTCCAGAAATTAGTTTGTTGTCTTCAGTTGTCAAAAATGCTAATGTGACTCCATTTCATACTGTTTTACATTTTTAAAGTTATAATTATTTAGTTTTATCTGAACATGTAATGTAGCAAGTGCCGATCAGTCAACGTGGAGCGATGGAAAGGATTATAATCACAGATTTCTGTTAGCAGTGAGATGTATTTGAAGCCTTAAGAGTTTTTAAGATGCCTGTTTTTGTTTTGGCTCACATTTATCAGCAGTTGGATGGGCAGGTAAAAGTTGGGATCTTTGTACCTGTGTCATATTTCAGAGGCTCAGAAATACTTTATTTAAACACCAGCCATTACAAACATGACGTTGTAGCCTCCTTTTCAGTGCCATAAGGCTGAATGAGACTTTGTATCATATGAAGCAAGTGTCTACAGCTTGATTTGTGATGTTACTTTCTGTGTGTCGCTCCTTTAAACCTCTGTTCAAATCACTTCAGAGTCGGGCTCCAGCCTTGTAAGTATGTACAGATTTTGGGTAAATTATTTTTGATGAGGAGACAACAGTAGACTCCAAATAAAGACTAATTCTACCATGTTTGTGGATTTTTTTTCGAAAATACAAAATTTGATTTGCAGAAATTCTTCATCTGGGAAGAGGAAGAGGGCGGCACCATGACACTGGTTTTGAGTAGTAGCCTCTCGGTGAGGTCACAGGATCACCTCCTGGCCTGGGGCCTTTCTGGGTGGAGTGCATGTTCTCCCAAAACACATCTGGGTAATCTCCAGGTACTTTGGTTTCCTCTCCCAGACCAAAAACATGCATGTTGGGGTAATCTGTAACTCAGAATTGTCCCTAGGTGTAAGAATGATTGTCTCGTTTTTTTGTGTCCGTGATGGACTTGCGATCTGTCCAGGGTGTCCCTCACTTGTTGCCCAGTGACTAAAGGATGTGAGCACCAGCTCCACACAACCTGGAAAGAAGCAGGTGGAAGAAATAGATGGATGTAATATAAGAAAAGCCTTGTCGTTCATTTTGTTACAGGAACTGGACACTTCCTGTATGGGATGAATTGCACTTCAGCACAAAAAACAAGTTTTACTCTGGTGACTGTTGAAGCAAAGTTTTGTGGTAATGTCCAGAAAAATGTTTTTCTGAGATACTTGTAGCTCATTTTTAAACAGTTTTTATCATAAAGTACCTCTAGTTCATAAAATCTGATCATTGAAACACGGTGCTCAGTAAAGTGTTACAGAATCAATGGATCAGATTAACTGACACACAAGTTAGTTTCTCAACAAATATCTGCTATTATGACAAAAGCCACGCTGCTGTTTAATTGTCCCACTCATGTTGCTGCACCAAAGAAGAGTGTTATAATATAACTAATATTCCAATTATTATAAAGCTCTTTTGGTACTCTGTTTCAATGCTAATAAAGTGCATATGTGATAAGTGGGCTAAAAAGTTTTATCTGTCACTTTCAGCCATCCAAAATAAGCATAAACAAAATGAGAAGTCTTGGTTTATCATTTAAAATGTTCATGTATGTTATTTTAAACTTTTATTTTTATTAGAACAAGAAGCCCAAGACATAATTGAAACCGTCTCCCAAGACACCATCATATCCCTGCCCATGAATATGTTGAGTTAATGGGGAGCGCTGGATACATCAGTGCAAGTAGCATCAGTTACACAAAAAACAGTGCTCCCACCACACCAAATACTCAGCATGTCTAAAAATAGCTGAGTTATAGCTATTTGAATTTATCTTTGGTGGCCATTGAATCTTTGTATAGTATTTGAATTCATAATGTCAGGTATCGCTCTCAGCTACCATCAGACTACATTTAAGTTTGACATCTCTAAACATGAGTGTGAAATACACATACAAACACACAGACACACACACAGAGATGCATGTTGGTTTTGAAAATTGTCAAAAAGGTGTGTTACTTGGGTAACAAGTTGGAGAAACATAGTTTTCTTTATTTGTATGTGCTCCTCCAAAAAAACACCTTGGCCACCCCTTGCAATAAAAATCTAGCTCCGCCCCTGTGGACACCTGTCTTTATAAAGACACTAGGTGGAACAGCACCATTTTATTTTTGTTTGTTTTGCTAATAATAGTGTGAATAACAACACTGCAAAAGTGCAAAGTTGTACTTCAGAAATGTATTACATATTTGAGGGTAAATATGGTATGATGCCACTTCTAATGAATAAATCTCTTGCAGACTAGCTGACACTAAACATTTGAAGTAATCTATCTCTTCTTTCTTCACTAGAAAGTTGGTGCAGCATCTCCGAGTGAAAAAAACAACACTTTTGGTATCAAAAACATCACTTTGGTTGCCTTGAAGCACAGCAGGCCTACATATTTAATCTACCGGTAATTAAACTTGATTCGTTTTCTGGGACTGGCGAGGTTATTATTGTCAATTTGTTCATTAAAGTTATAATAGGGGCCTGACAGACTCCATATGGAATCATCACTTTTCCACTCTCCTCCTGCTGACTTGATTTGTGGGTAACAACAAAGTTTGCAAAATGGCGCATCCAGTGATGATCGGTTGGTGCCACTATGATATGATGGTATCAGAAATGAACCTCATTAAAGTTGATGTAGTAATCTATAATTAGAGCCTTAAAAAAATAAATTGGGTAGTTTGAAGACGCCCTGCAGAAAATTTCAACTATAACTACAGAATTGGTTCTGTTCTTAATGCACCACAAACAAACTGTATTAAATCCTCACCTCATGTGAACATTCTAAATTTCTTTGTTGAGAAAGTCAGTTCCACCAGGGACCAGATTCACTTTCCGCTCATGATCCCTCATTCTTTGTGCCCTGCTCTGCTGTTTTTGACAGCTTTGAACCAGTGACTCTGTCGTCTCTGCAGGAGGTGATGGTTAACCAACAGGTTCACCAAGTGATGCTATTCCTCCTCATTTATTTAAAGAGGTTTTCCTCACTGTGGGTCCTTTGGTCCTTGCTCTTCTGAACAGCAGTCTGTCCTCTGGTGTGGTCCCTAGAAATTTCAAACATGCAGCTGTCCAGCCTCTCATTAAGAAACCCACTCTTGACCCCTCTGTTCTTGCTAACTACAGGCCAATCTCTTAACTGCCACTTTCAAAAATTCTCGAAGGTGGTGTACAACCAGCTATCAGCATATTTGAAAGAACAGAACATTTTAAATCTCTACACAGTACAGAATCTGCCCTTTTAAAGGTTTTTAATGACATATTTTTAGCAACAAACTCTGGTGACCGTGTTGTCCTCATGCTTTTAGATTTATCAGCTGCTTTTGACCCAGTGGACTATAACATCTTACTTTGTCATTTGAAGCAATGGGAATGGGGTGGGGGGTGTCAGTGGTGCAGCACTGGACTGGTTTAGGTTCTAATTAGCAGTGTACTTTCTGTGTCCACCTTAGTGACTACGTATCCTCCTGCTCCTCTCGTGTGTGGAGTTCCACAGGGCTCAGTCTTAGGCCCCCTCCTCTTCATGCTGTACCTGCTCCCTCTTGGCTCCATTTTTTAGAAAATATGGAATCTCCTTTCATTGTTATGCGGATGATACACAGATATATGTCCCGCTAAAGAAAAAGGATTAACTCTTTGGTCCCTCTGTTTTCTTGTCTGGAGGACATAAAAGCCTGGATGGCTGTGAACTTCTTAAAGTTCAATGAGGGAAAGATGGTCTTTGGAAGCTCCACTGAGACTCCCAGTGTAGATGTTGGTTCCTTGGCCCAGTACAACAGGCCAACTGTTACAAACCTGGGGGTTAAAGTCGATGCTGGACTAAAATTAGAAAATTACATCAGGGCTGTTGTTAAAACTAGATTTTTCCATCTGAGGCAGCTGGCTAAGGTGAAGCCGATTCTTTCTCAGCGACATTTCGAAACAGTTCACACTTTTGTGACCACTTGGCTGGACGACTGTAACGCACTCTATACAGGAATCAGTGACTCGTGTATCTCTCAGCTTCAGAGGGTACAGAACGCTGCTGCGTGGCTTTTAACTGGCACACGAAAGTTTGAACACATTTCTCCTGTTTCAGCCTCCCTGCACTGGCTGCCCGTACATTCTAGGATTCATTTTTAAATTATTTTATTTGATTTTAAAGCTCTTAATGGACTTGTCTCGCCTTATCTGTCCGACTTTCTACATCCATATATACCCACTCGACCCCTCGGGTCATGTGATCAGCTGCTCCTGAGTGCGCCGAAGACAAAGCGTAAGCTCAGAGACCGTGATTTTGCTGTGGCAGCTCCTAAACTATGGAACGACCTTCCCTTGAACATCAGGCACGACTCTTCTTTGTCTGTTTTAAATCCCTTAAGACCCATCTCTTCTCCCTGGCCTTTGACACCATCTGAGATGTTGACTTTTAATTATTTTAACTGCTTTTTATTATCTGATTTGTTTTATGATGTGTACTGTATGTGTACAACTTTTATTATGTGACAATCATTTTAATCAGTTTTATTATCTGAATGTATGATAGTTTTATTATGTGTACAGAACTTTGGTCCTGTGGGTGTTTAAAGTGCTCTATAAATAAAGCTGGTATGGTATTTAGAAATCAAGTTCAATCAAGAGCAGTGCGTAGGAAGTAATTTTGAATAAAGTTCATCTTAAAAGGGGAAAAAATATATTTTTTAATTCACAATATATTCACAGCAGGACATTTTTGATATGAAATTATGACAGATGATGGATTTTGGTTTCACAAGTTTTATTCAAGGAAAAAGTGAACAGAACTAAAACTATAACAAAAATTATTATGAAAACAAATATTCCAGAACATTATTTGTCATTTGTATTTTAATAACATTACTGAACTGACTGGCTGTTGCTACAAGCTCAATAAAATAAAAAAAAGTAAAAACAAACTAGCATAATATTGCAGACTGGATTATTTTTATATTCAAAAAGTTGACAAAAATGCTTAAAGTACTTGATTATTATATAACTAAAATATTCCATCAGCATGGTTTTTTGTTGTGATGGATCTGATGTCAAAGAATATGTAGTAAAAAATGGTCAAAAACATTTTAGCAAACACAAAAGAAAAATCCAAAATTCAAGTTAAGCAGTTGAAAACAAAATATCTTTGTTAGAACACCATCATGAAGTAAATAAAAATAAGACATGTAGCAAATATATAAAAAATATAAAAAAGAAATGTAGATAGTCCTTGTTAAAATTGTTAACAAAACAAGCAAAAAAAAATAATTTTTAAACTAAGTAAAACAAGTGACTGAACTCACTGAAAACTTGATCAAATACAAATAATAAATAAAAAGTAAAATACAAAAGTATGATGGTTTTACATAAACACTGACAATGCAAAAATTAAAGTGAAACATTTTATGATGAATATATTACCAAGAAACTGTCCTTCAGTGAATGTAAAAATTAATAAACAATAGGAATGTTGTACAGTGACAAAGTGAAACCTCAGTCTTTTAGAAATTATTGTAATGAAATTAGTAAATTTTGTAAAAAACAAACAAACAAAAAAACATACTTTACTCGACTACACTGCTCCACAAAGACTCATAAATGTATCCAGCAGTTTCAAACATGCTTTGATTTTTACAGTTTCAAAAATCGTTCTGGAGTAAATATCAATCGTCGATTAGTTGAGATAAATAAAACAAAAGGTGCACAAGTTTCATTTTATAATATAATGATTTTCAGTCCTACAGTATAGAAACTAAGGGTTTATCAAACCAAAAATGGGATGTTTTATCCCATGGCCTGTCTGTTTGGATTCACTCTTTTGCTTTCAGTGCAGTTTGACTGTTGGCGAGATAAAATAAAATCTATTTGGAAAATAAAAAAAATAAAAAAAATGCTGGGGTGATGCATGAAATAGGGCAAAATAAGAATGAACAGTGATATGGATCACTTACTTAAACTCTACAATGCAGAACATAAATGTACTTAACCCCAAAACTAATTGCCCACATACTCTTCTATCTTCCTGAGTAGCTCAGATGCTTTGCTCAGTGCCACCATAGCCTTTTCTGTCCTGAACTGTCCGTTAGGAATGTGAGGATAGGGATAGTAACTGGGGTATTGAGTCTTTTTGGCATCCACTCCCAGTGCCGTCAGATCCTTCACAATTTGAAGCAGGTCCCTCAGTTGAGGGTGATAGTTTGAAACAGCTGCTGCAATAGTAGAAATTGAGTTGCCGGTGGAGTGTCGACCATTACGTTTATACACCGCAGCAAAAAGTGCCTTTTCCACTGCTTGATGGACTTTAAAGAGACACCACTCTGTGCTTTTTCCACTCGTGTCTTCTTGAGCAGCATCAAGGTCACAGCGAGCCTGTTTAAACCAGCGCTGGGCCTCCTTTTTGTTCGGCTTTGGGATATTTGTGTTATGGGACCAAAAGTTGTAGGAATGGTAGCTCTTAAAGAAGCTTTCTCGACCTCTTCTGTGATGTCTGGCCTCTTGATCCCACTGCTGGTAAAAGTCTCTGTAACCTGAAGATCGGCTTGAATAGGAGGAGTTTGTTGTTGGTGTTGTTATATCTTTACCCTTGATCAGCTCATCAATGCGATTCTGCAAGTATTTAAACGACTCTGTGGCGAGTGGAAGGCAGTCAGGATTTTTGTCAGGATGCCATCTAAGGTAGAGTCTCTTGATGCCTTTCCGTCTTTCCTCCTCAGGAAGACTCCAGATCTCATTCAGACATTTGTCAATCTCCCTTTTGGCTTCATCTAAGGAGGTTGGCATGGAACTTGTTGAGGAGTGGGAAGAATGTGGCGCAGCTCCGTCATGTTTCACCAGCTCCATGGAGGATGTGTATGTCTTCTCATCTACTTTTAGCTTCTTGTCTCGTTTAAACTGATATAAGTCAAGATGACTGACTTCAATTGGCTCATCCTCTCCAATATCTATCTTGTATCTCTTGGAATAGCTTCCAGAGTGCTCAGGAAGTTCTTCAACAATAACTGCATAGATGTACTTGTCGTCGACGCTGTAGCCAACGTATTCACCCTCTTCAAAGTTGTTAAGGAAGCTCATGTCTAAAGAGTCATGCCATTCATCTGGAACATCTGTCCCAGGGTCTTGATTGAAGAGGTTTTCAGTTTCAGCGCTGTCACGGATTTGATTCTTAGCCAAAGTTTTTTGAACATCTTGCAGATCGTCACACATAAGAAGTTGTCCGAGCACCAGAAGATGAGCCGATGCAATTCTGTGACCTAAAAGAGTATTGATCTCTTTTGTTAAAGTCATGTTAACTTCACTGATCACTTTAAGAGCCATGTCATCATGATGTTTTAGATAAAAGGTACAGCCTTGTTGCTCTCGTTTGACGAAAACATCAGTTTCTCTGGTAGTTGGGTTTAGCGGCCGGGTATTCATCCACAGCACTGTTTCTAACGTTTTGCAGCAGACGATCTGAATGCTGCCAAAAATCTTCTCACACATCTCATTTTCTTCTTCTTGGCTTATTTGACCCCAAGATTGCTCTCTGAGAAGACAAACCAGTCCGTGTCTGAAAGCTCCTGAAGACAGATGTTTCTCAAACCATCCACTAAAGTCACAGTCAATCCCAAGTTCACAAAGCTGCATGTGTGCTTCCACGACTTTCTCTTCAGTCGTCTGAGACAACATTTTGGGTTGAAATTTCTGAGGCAACAGCTGCACCAGTCGATGGTGTTCATAGATGTCTTTGCCCAAATGACATTCACTGAGTTTCTTAACCAACAGGAACTCGTCCTCCAAAGCTTCTTCCAACCTTTTCGTCTCAAACGCTGTGTCATTGTAGTAGAGTGAACATGATGGGTACAACTTCCCATCTACTGCTGGAAGATATAAGGTTTGAACATCATCAGTCAAGACTTGTTTTTTTTTTAGTTTGATTAAGTCAAACAACTGGTGAACTGCTCGTTTTACAGTCTTCTTCTGGTTGAAATTTAGTTGCTTTTTATCACAGGAGTCAGCATGAACAGCTGCCAGGACATTACAATAATGCACTGCAGTTGCGTCCTTCTTTACACCGATCTTCTTGAAGAACTCTGCAAATAGGGCATCTTCTGGGGAAATTTTGAACAAGTATGGTCTGAAATCAAGATCATGCTCAAGTGAAAGACACGCATCATCGGCTTTGCAAAGCGCAGTGTCTTTTTCAACCAAGACAACAGGAAGCTCAGTCAGTGGTTGTTCAGCAAAAGCAGTGGCTTGCAGGTTGGCATAAGCACGACGAAACACATTGGCACGGGTTTTGATCAACTGCCCAGTTTTACATGATGACTGACAAATGTTTGCCATGTTGCTGGTCACATATTGAGAAGGTGGTTGCTCATGAGCTCCTGCATTTTTCATCATTTGTAAAAGTTTTGGAGAAATATAAACTGGTAGATGTATAATTGGCATTGAAGTCCAAATCAGCTCCTGATGGTTCGGATCTTTGTCGATCAAAGATCCTCTGATCTGAACAACAGTGTTTTCTGCAGCACATGGTTGGTGGTAGCTGCAAAGTTCTCCTCGAATCTTCACTGGAAAAATGAACTGGATGTCAGCAATTCTTCTCAGCAAAATTTCATCCTTGTTAGTGCTCACCATTTTCAAGGCTTCTTTGAAAACCATTTCTGATTTCTGTTGGAGCTCATCAACTTTATTGTTTCTTTTTGCTTCTGATTCTATTTGGGCTGCAAAACTGACTATATCATCTGCTGACACTTCATGTTTCATTCCAAGTTCTCTGACTAAACATCTTGCCTCTGTTCTTGTACTTTGGTTTTCGTCACACAAGTCCCTCCAAAATTTCTCTGGCACAAATTTTTCTTGAGGTACCATTTTCTGGTAAAGCTCAACATGATCATCAAAAAATAATGATGCCATCTCCAGTCTACCATGACAACTGCGAATCAATTTCAGTGGTTTCAGTGATGATATGACTTTGTCTTTGTGTTGTGAAAAATGGTAGTCACATTGTAGGATCAGTAACAACTTGAGGCAGTCAAGAGTCTCCTTTTCTGTGAGTCTTTGTACAGCAGGCAAAATGAACTTCATAAAGTACTCCAAGTCATCCAGAATTTTAATGTTTAGGATTTCTGAAAGATCATGATTTTCAGAGCTGTACTTGAGAAAAATGTTGCTTTTGGACAGGGTGAATAAATGTGAAAAGTTCACTGACTGTCTGCTGTTGAGGACAAATACTTCTTTATGTCCATCAATCGTTACTCGGTCTCCATGTGCAGTTTCAAATATTGGTAAGGACCTAAACTTCCTCTCATAATCCTGACGGTTTTCACACTTGGACACTCCAGACTGCAGGAAGCTCTGCATTTCTTTCATGTCATTAGTCGAAAGGTGAGAATACTTTGAGTGGTTGATGTTGTAGACCTGGTTCAACACTGCACTTTTGTCATTAACATCCATGAGTTCAGCATGTAGCGCTGAAGATAGACGTTGGTATGTTTTCATAAAGAACACGTTATCAAGCTTTGTAAAACCAAGTTTGAGCAGGATATTTGACAAGTCGTTATCTGATGCATGTGGAATCACACTTGATATCTCTTTCATTGTTTGCAGGAGGTGCTTGTTGTTTAACTTTGGACACACAACAGGAAGAATGCTGCAGTCACTGAAGAGCTTCCTCACATCATTTATTGTCAGACTTTGTTTAGCAGCTTTACATGTTTCAAATGGGATTTCACTTCCAATGAACCACCAAAGAGATTCCAACCATTTCAACACTGTTTCATTTGGGATATGTAGACCACTACCTGGGTCGAATTCACAGCTCTGAAGAAGATGTTGAATTATCGGTCTCAGATATGGCATTGCACTGGGAAGTGTCACCTTCTTGACAAGGTTAAAAGTTTGCAATAGATTAATGTGATCTTGATAAATTTTATGATTTGCAAATTTGTCTTCATAACCAAAGAAGAGAGTGTCATATCTTGAAATCAACTTTGGAGATTCAGAGTTAAATGGTCTCAAAATCTTGTCTTTTGTGAGAAGAAGTGGAAGCCCATTCAGCAACGTGACCCCATTCTTTGCATTTTTCCCCAATTCTGGATTCTTCAAACAAAACTCCAGGAGTTCTGAACACCTTCCTTCATTTCTGATCAGAGTGGCATCTATAGGCAAAGGCAACTCCTCGTCTGTTTGGGTTGGATCATTGAGAGGTTTGGCTTGTAGGAAAGCACACACAGAGGCCGGGGTGACATTTTTCACTTCAACTCCAGCTGATCCAAAAGTACTCCAAATCTCCTGCATGTTTGCGAAGGAAGGGACCAGTTTCATTCCAATATCTTCCAAAATGGAATTGATTTTTTTACTCTCTTTTTCTGTCAAGTAAGGTGCCTGAATCGTCCCTGTTTCACTGAGGTTTGACCAGTCAAATGAGTACTGTTTTATCGTTCGATCTGCAATCTTGGAGGTTGAGCTTCTCAGCACTGGGATAACATCAAGAGCCTTTTCTTCAATTGACCTGTATACGCCCTGTATCATTTCATGCCACTCGGGAGCAACATTTTTGGACACAATGGGCCAAAAGCACAAGTATGAAGTGTGGAAATGTAATTCAATACTTTCAAAGAAGCCTGTTTTAACTTCAATCCTTTGTCTGATGAAATCCAAGAGATCTGCATACAGTGGAGCAATGATGTTTTGCTTTAAAGACTCATTCCAGTTTGATTTTAGGCTTTGACCATCTTCTTTCCAAAGAGTTTTCCTGGCAGAATCCACTTCAAAGTTTCCATTAATGTGTACTGGCAGCCCAGTTTTTCCAGGCAAAGGAAGGGAACAGAAAGCTGCTCCTTCAAACTCCATTTTGCTGAACTGTGAGCCCTTAGAGCCCTTTGTGCTCATCTGTACAGCAATCGCCCCATGTGGAAGTTTGTCTGCTAGTGGTAATTTATCATTGTCTTTGAATGAGCCAAATTGTTCAGCAATGATCCATTCACTTTTTCGTTTTTTTGAAGTGGAAACAGTAGTTTCATAGAAAACCTTTTGAGCGGTTACTGGATTTTCTGATTGTAGTGCCTTTTGTAGCTGTTTTGTAAATGCATCTTTTTCCTCCTTACTTTTGTCTGGCAAACGTTTCTCAACAACAAAGGTGGTCTTGAGATTTCCTGATTTTTCATCGATTTCATGAACTTCTATTTTGCAGATGTTTTTCAGGAACAGAATTAGTCCTTCTGGATCTTCGGCCAGAGCAGAGCAAAGTTCGTTTATGTCACCATCAGTGACATGATGCTGCGATATTTTGGAGCTTTTTACTCCAGTACTTGTCCTCAGGGGTAATCTGAACATTGTTCCATTTTTAAGACAAAATTTGTCTGGAAGGAAGGAGTTGTAGACATCTTCGTACATCGCCTTGAATGTGTTGGCTAGATTGTAGCCAATGCCAGCTTTTGGTTTGTCTGAATGACTTTCAATGTACTTTCGATTGGGATCAAAAATGCAAAGTAAATCATCTCCCGTGAGGATGGAGGGACAGTCAGTCAGGTGGTAAACAGAGTTGAATCCAACTCCATATTTACCTATCTTCCCTACTAATTGTTGCTTTCCTCCTTCTCCCAGCTGTTGAATGCCTTTCAAGTCATCATTAGAAAATATTCTGTTGTTGAACACACAAAGGGCTGGACCCTGCAGATTGTTCCATCGTTTTCCAAATGTTTTCTCTTTGCCATGCTGTCGTTTGTCCCAGACAAAATGAATCTCTGTTGCTTCAGCATCATCAGCATTTTGGATCAGCTCTTTGAGGATATCCTTCTTCGATGGATAGGCTGAAATGATGTTTTTAATGCGAACAGTTAGTTGTTCATGCTGTTCAAACTCAAAAGAAAATGGGGAAATATTGTCAACTTTGTGGGCTTCCAGAGTGTGATGCTTGGTGGTTGTGATTCCAAAGTGGCAAGCCATATTACGTGGGATATTTTCATGACACAAAGTAATACCTGAAGCTACTGGCATCCATGGACTGTCGTTGTAAAACAGCTCTTTTGAAGGCTGTAAAACCCCATGTTCATTGGGGATCAGACAGTCATCAGTTGTTTTTTCTTTTGCCTCAAACATCCCTTTGCTTAAAATTGTCAGGCAAATTGATAAATCTTTTTTTGGCAGTGGTTTCTTTCCATGCTTAGATTGAAGTTTCTTAAGTACAGTGTGAAACTGAGTGGTAGTGAACTTTTTTTCTACACCAACCGTTTCCCAGAGGTTCCTAAAGCTAGAGAAAGCAGGTGGAAGTACATGAAGATATGGTTTTGCTTCAAACTGCTCATCTTCTGCTACACTACTGATGTTTACGAATGTATTGCCAATCAAAATAAATGGGAACGAATTTGCTCTCTGTAAAATTAAAGTGGTGTTTTTACATCCACTGATCTGCTGATCCAGAAATTTATAGCACTCATATGCTATTTTGTGAAGCATAGATGTGTCAGTTGATTGTGACTTCTTACAAATTTCTTGCAGCTGCTGAAGCACCGTCTCTGGCTCTGGACTGGTTTGAACTCCCAAAAGTTCTAAGACTGGATCATTGTCATGTATTTTCAGACCACTGTGATCCAGCACTGGGTGTGTCATGTTCACAAGCAGAGAGAATTTGTCACTGAAAATTTCTGTGGGCCTTTCAAGTGATGCTTTTCTTTCCACTATGATGTCGCCTGATGAAAATGCTGGGAGAAACGGAGTCTTCCTCAGTGTTTCCCAGTGGACAGAGTCATTGTCATCCATGTGAGTTTTCAGAAGTTCAAGAAGGCACTTTAAACGCTCATATGCTTTCTTTTGGTCAGAAGTCCAGATTTCAGTTATTGTGCCTGCTTTTTGAGTGATGTCCTCCATTGGAAGATTGTCATTTGCCATTCCAAGTTCTAACAAGCGCTGAATCCTTTTGTGGGAACAATAGTCCTGTTTGGTTCCACCAAGCAAGCGGCCCTCCTCTGGTTCAAAAAGACAGGCCACTCTTCCTGTTGGATTGACAAGTTTTGTAATATACTGGAGCTTTCCATCTGTTGTGGGTATGCAAGGATAGCAGGCCAGAAGATCGTCCATTTCTTTCATATTGAGATCAATAGCATGGATAACAAGAGTGTCTCTGCTCTTAGGGTCCATTTCATTGATGTATTTGAAGACAATTTCTTGATAAAACTTCTTCCAGTTCCATGTCCTGTTCTGTAAAACTGTTTCCAGGCCAGCTTGTTTAAAACTGTATCTCAGCCACAGTGGAAGAGGAACAAAACAGTTGTGTGATTTTGTATATTTTTGGCACATTTGAGCTGCAAGTGGACCAATGTCTTTATGTTCTTCAATGCTCTCATGTAGAAATATTGCATTGTTCATTGAGCACCAGTGTTCTCCGTCACTGAAGAGCTCTGGGCCATTGGAGGGATGAGCAATGAATGTGTAAAACGCATCCACCAAAGGCTTGAATGTATCAGCCACTTTCTCCCACTCTGGCCAAAAGGTGTGATAACAGTAGGACTCCAGCTGGTTGTTTTCAGACATTTCTTTCAGTGCAGAAAGTGTAGTGATATATGCTGTCACTACAGGATCTTGAAGAAGAGCCTTGTTCCACTCATGTTTCAGTCCACTTTCCCACAGACCTTTTCTGTTGCTCATCACAGCAAATGTTCCATTTACATTTACTGGGAGACCTGTGCTAATGGGAAGGGGAAGGAAGCAAAATGCCTGCCCAACAAGATCTTTTTGTAATGGGGACATTGTTCCATTTTTTGGATTTTTCTTCAAGGGCACGGCAATCCCTCCAATGGGCAAAGAGAATGTAGCTTTTTTGTTTTCATGAAGGCAAATTTCCAGGGACTGATCTGTCCCAAAGCAGTTGTAAACAAGCCAGTGTTGTTGTTCAGTCTTACCATACTGCTGAATTGCAATTTGGAGAATGTGAATTGAGCAACTGTCAATTACCTCTTTGCATTTAACATCAAGTTTTATCAATGATTTCTCAGCTTGACGTTGTGTGGATATCAAGGCTTCATTTGCAATCGACACAATTTTCACATCTGTTTTGGAAATAGTCAGGATGCTTTTTATGTCTTCATCTCTTGGTGGAGTTGATACATTGTTTGAGATACTTTGTAGTGACAGAGTACTTATGTTCTTGAGAAAAATCAGATGGGTTTGTGAATTATTTGCAAAGTTCTGCTGTAGGGTCATGATGTCATTTTTGCGATAAACCTTTGAACAAATTTCTGACTTGACAGCCTCTTCTTCACTTCGGAAAGGTAGTTTGATCAGGGTGCCTACAAAAGGTTCTGGAGAACGTTCTCTGGAGAGATTACAGTCAAAAATGCCTTCGTACGGTCCAAATTGTCCTGGAAAACAAATAAGTCTCTTTTGAGAGAGATCCAGCTTGATTCCAGGGTTTGTCTTTTGTTGGATGTGCCTCTTAAGGTGAGTTACATTTGGATCAAGTATGAGAAGCTTGCTTCCACTGAGGATGGAGGGAACATCTGTCACATGATACACAGTATTGAATCCAAGTCCAAACTTTCCAATTTTTTCCACTTTGTTTTCCTTTGATGCAGAACCGACTCTGACAATATTTTTCCAATCCTCCTCTGTGAATTGCTCATTATTGAAGGACCAAAGACATGGTCCCTGACAAAGGGCCATGTCAGGATCAATGAGACTTTCTGGGGGGTCTTTGTGGACTCTGAAATCAACCAAGAATTTGCAGGCATCGGCTCCAGCATCTTCTGCATTCTGAATGAGCTCTTTGAAGATGTCCCCATCTTCATCGTACTCTTTAAGAATGTTTTTAATTCTCAAAGTTATTGGTTCAAATTGTCCACACTGTTCAATTCCCACCAACTCTGGAGCAAGGATGTAGTTACTGAGGAATCGTATTTGTAACCATTCAGCTGTTGCAATGGGGATTTCCTCATGCAAGAGATTAATTTTCTCTTCACTGAACTGAAGCTCCTTTAGTCTATTTTTGCTGACATCACAGAAAAGTGCTTCTGACCTTGGTTTGAGAGTAAATGTTTCATCCTTTATGATGACTGGCACTGGGATGTCATCCTGAAGCATCTGCTTTTTTCTTCTCCACAACCAGTTGAGAATCTCTATGGACACTTTTACCTCTGGTGGACTTGCAAATGGTTGTTGCCTTGCTTCAATATTTTGCTGGATAGAATAAAGAATACCTGTAATGTTCTCATTTGAAAGGGATGGTTTTAAACCAAATTTCAGGAGCAGCTCTGTGTATGGGAAATATTCATTTGGAACCTTCACAATGAAAGAGCTCAGATCTAAATCAGGTGGGTAGTCAAGAACCAGGTCCTGAGGAGAAACAAACTGGTTGTGAGCCCACAACCAGCATGGCTCCTTGTTCATCAATTGTCCAAATGAAGAGATGTTGTCTTGCATGTGTTTGTAAAGGCTATGTAATTTTCTTTTGAAATCCACATTTTTATATGGATCAGTCATTTTCTGTGCTTTTGATTTCAACACTGACAAGTTCTCAATCACTTTCTCAGGAGGAGGCAGGTGTTTGAGACCGAGCCTGGTGCCTACTTTGTCACGCAGCTTCCCCATCAGGGGCATTACATATCCAACTATGTCCTCATACATAGTGTGTCGTATTTCATCTGGGCTGTAGAAACAGTTTTTCTGAGAATTATCAACAAGCTGTTTGTCATAGCCAGGTTGAGCACATGGAACCCATTTTATCATCTTAAGTTGATTAAGCTGCCCATCAGAAAATTTTGACAGAAGATCATTAGCATCCAACATTTCCAAGAGCGCCTGCGCTCTTTTGAAAGCCTCAGTTTTAGAATTCACTTCAAGTTGTGCGATCTGTGTTGTAACTTGCAACAGGTGTTCTGGTGTCACATCAGACTCTTTGTTCATCAATCCAAGGCCTGTCAAGCTCTCCATCATCTGTTGTGTTTTAGTGTACATTGGTGGGGGAAAGAAGTCTGAGTCAAAGATGACTTTAAACATTTTATTTCTTGGATCAAAAAGTTTTGAAGTCTTTTTAAACTCTCCACTGACTTTAATGAATCTCAGGTCTGTACATCTGCGCTTTAAACGCTGGTTTTGAGAGAAAAGGATGTTACCATGCTGCAAAATCCAAGCCATTATTTTTTCAGTTTCTTTGATACTGCAAGTACCTTCCTCAATGCAGTCAGTAAGGACAAAGGCTGCATCTGCTGGGCTCAAGACTTTAACCTTGAGCAGCTGTAACAGTCTGCGATCAGCCTCAGTGGCACACTGGATCACTGTGTCAGGCATGGGCAGCTCTGTGGGTACAGTTGGACAAGACATTGCGTCCAACGCCTGTTTCAGCTGAGCTCCAACATAGGACCTTTTCATAGTTTGAAACAGGGGTAATGTTAAGAGGAAATCCTTCTCTTTGCCTGAAAGAGGATTCACATGGGACAGGTAGTTTTTTAGTTCTTCTAGTGCTGTGTGAGACTCAGCGTTTAAGACTCTGATGAGATGATGGGAGTCTAAATTCATCAACAACTTCAGGACACTTGTTGGAGATGGACTCAGGACATAGGTTTCAAGGTCTTCGTGCTTGAGCCACTCATTTCCTGTCACCACTGTGCCACCAACGTTGGTCAGCACCTGAACTATTGATTTGGGCAAACTGCTCTGCCTACTTTTCTGATGAATCAGAGTTGTTTTTGCTTTTAGTTTTGCCAGTAAAACCGGCTGACTGTTAGACAGTGGACTGACAGGAATCAGAGGTATTTCTGTGAAAAGACTTAACTCTTTGAAGTGAGAGCTGAGAAACTTCCAGAATTCTTGGAGCCAATCTAATGGCGGATGGTGACTGTTGCTGATGTCCCATGTAATGGATGCCGACCTCGCCTGCATCCATTCCTGAGGTAAATACCTTCGTGTATATTCAGCCACGTGGTCAGCATTAACAATGATGACACTGAATAAACCTGAGAAGCAAATACATACCAAAATTATGTTAGGACAATTGTGTTGAACCACTCACACACACATATATTTGTAATCATTTTGTTAAAAAAGTTAACACAACATACTTTGTCTGGACAGTTCTTTTAAGTGGGTTTTGCAAGCTGAGCTCAGGTCACGTGGAATGAAGAGGTGTTTGCAGTACGGCATCAAGATTCTGGGAAAAATATATAATTTTGTAAAAAAAAAAAAAAAAAATTCAACTAATATATACCTTCAATGCCACTACCTAAATATCGTACAGCACGCAAAGAAGCTAGGTACAAAACTTAAAACACACTGTGAGAGTTATAACCAGGGCTTAATTTGTAAATCAAATGATGATTTTTTATTTTTTTTGGGGTGGTCTCCCCCAGAGAATTTTGAATAAAGTAGATGCCATTTCCTGCATTCTGGTGTATTTTATAAAGGTTTATTACAGCAGATAAACGTGAAACAAAAGAAAACTGAGTTATTATTAAAATCTTTATGATTGCAAAGCGTTCCTAATGCAACACCACTGCAGCTCTACAGGTAAGGTACGTTCACTTCAAGATAAATTGAGGTTGCTGATTGGTCAGTTGCTGACATGCCTACTGGATTGATTGACAGGTGGCTCGATGATCTGACTATTGCAAAAAAATAAAATTAAAATGAACAAAAATCAGATTTTACTGGCCCATTTAAGACTGTTGTCCTTTATTCTATATTTATTCAATATTTTGGTGAATCTAAGGTGTGGACACTATGTTGAAGCGCAGACAGAGCGACTTGACCTCAGTCTGTCCACAGAGTACACCTGCGTCTTCAAGCCGTACTGTGGATAAAGCACCTGCAGCTCCCCAGTAAAATGATCATAGGACTTTTGAAGGGCAGGCACCCACCCTGGGACAACAAGCGCAGCTGTTTTTGGCCACACTTAGAAAAAAACTGCTTAATATTAAGCGCTTTGTCACAGGCTTAGAAAAGAGTTGCTTTCAATCTTCCTGCTCAGTTCAGAAAAGCGTCCTTGTCGCGCCAACGTTGCTTCAAATACCCTGACTGCATGATAAGGTCAAGGTCAAGTTTTCTTTGTCATTCACACCACATGCGGTACATGTGGTGGAACGAAATTGTGTACACAGGGTCCCAGTTATATCCAACAAAAGTATAAATTGTAAAGAAAAACAGTAATAAGATCTAAGATATGAACTAAGAAATACACTAAACTACCATGTCACTCATCCCAAATAAGTCATAAAAATTTCAAAATTCTGATCACAGAAACAATAAAAATATAAGCGTACCTTGGAAAATCATTGCTGTCAATTAAAGCAGTGTCCTGCTCTCTGTCAGTGAAAGATCTGAAAGAACCATCACTAAGTGGAAGTAGCTGAAGACCCCTCAGTTCTTTGTATTTTCCATCATTCAATATGTACTCCAAAAGGCAGAGCTTGTCTTCTTTACTGATGTTAGACACACCGGTCCTGTGGAGAACACCTCTGAGGAAGGTTGGAGTCACTTGGTTTGGGCTCATGTGAGGACAGGTCTCAATGGCTTTAACAACTCTAGTCGGTAACGCAACAAGGTTTTCTCCACATGAAACCAAAGTTCTTTTTATGGCAGCCAATGTAACGGTGCTTGTTGGACCATTACAGGGTAGCACAGCTTTAGATACAGGGATAAACTTTCTTTCATCTTTGGCAAGAGAGAGAACAGCTGTGTTTTGTCTGAATAAGTGACAAAAAACATCCAGAGCCATTTTATGCCATTTATCTGGGAGCTGCATCTGAGTAATATCAGGCCACAGACTGTACACAGTTGAGACAGGAAGCTCAGACTGTTGACAAAGTTTGATGGCATTTTGAATGATCATTACATATGCTTGTGGAAGCACCTCCTCCACCAACAATTCATTCCACAAAGCATGTTCGTCATGTTTCTGGTCTTCTTCTTGCCACTTGATGTGTCTTCTGTTGTCTGTGAGGCCAAAGCAGGCATTGACACAAACTGGGAGACCCGTCTTATTGGACTCATTGTTTGGGAGGGGGAGAAAGCAGCTCAGTCTACCCTGACTGCAGTCTCTTTTCTCATCAATGGGGAATGCCAGGTCAACTCGGGGTAGAAAACTCAACTTTTTTGCAAGACAGTCAAGATTTTCTACATTACCCTCCTTCATAGTGCATGTGGTGACGATCCATTTTGTTTCTTTGGAGTTTTCTGAATGAAGGGTTATCGTTTTGAACTTTGTTAAACCCTCAATGACTGAGTCATCTTCCGACTTCAAACAGACTTCTGTGGGGATTGAGGCTTTTACTTCAAGTCTGGTGTGAACTGTGCCATAAACATCAATGTGTATTAAGGACACAGAGCTTACACTTTTCAAGAAGAGGAGGCTCAAGTCTGCATCTGCAATGAAGCTATCAAAAAGCTCCACCACCTTGTCTGAATCATACAGATTATCTGAAATTTCTGATTTCACATTACGCAAGGGGAATCTGAAGATTGTCCCAGGAAAGTACTGATCCTCCAGGACTTTGGACCATTCTAGCTGCCCAACTGAAACTATGTCTCTATAGGGTTGGAATTGATCATGCATTGTCATCAGAGCTTCTTGGTGCTCAGCATCATCCAAAGACCACAGAAACCCTCCTTCTCTGGTTCCAAATATCTTTTCTTGGGGGTCCATCAAACCAAGGTGCCCTGAGCTCAATATGCTTGGCACATCTGTGGGTATAATGCAGCACATTTACTCATTATTATTTATATATGAGCTCTAAAAATACTTCTTGAACTCAGATGATTAGGTTGAAGTATTGGAATAGCACACAAGTTTTACCAGTTATGTGATAAACGGAGTTGAAGCCAATTCCAAATCTCCCAATTTTGTTCGGGTCATTGACCTTGCCACTTCTTCCCGCCTTTTGAATTCTTTCCCAGTCTTCATCAGTAAATACTGCATTGTTGTAGGCGTAGAGAGCGGGACCTTTGGGAAGGAAAACAAAAAATAAAAACAGTGCTATGTAAGTACGTGTTATTTGTTTATTCGTTGTAACTGCTCATCTTGAAATCCCAGCTTGACTTGTAAATAACACCAAACATGATAGTAAACATAAAATCAACCCGCACAAGGCAATTTTGCCAGCAGTGTTTTATTTACAGGTGACTGTTAAAAAGTAAAACATGACTTGTAAAACAAATCGGTTAAAAACAAGTGAAACTTTAAACTTGTAATATGAACTGATCAGCATAAATACCTTGGTATTTTTCTAGCTTATCAGTCCAAAGACTCTTGGTCCCATAGCTTCTCTCATCGTGGATGAAAAGCACTACTGTAGCTTTGGCATCATCTGCATTTTGAATCAGTTCCTGTTGATAAATAACCTAAAATTATGAAGTGAGCCTAGAACAACAAAACTAAAAGAATGAAGAGATGAACCACAATAGTAGCTGCACATAATAAAAAAAATGGGCGGAAAAGCAAATTAAAACTGCATTTTTAGTTCTGTATTATTAGCAATGGAATATCCATCCATCCATCCATCCATCCATCCATCCATCCATCCATCCATCCATCCATCCATCCATCCATCCATCCACTTATTCCTAAGTTGGATCACTGGGGCAGCAGCTTGAGCATGGAGGCCCAGACATCTCTTTCCACAGCCACCTCTTCTGGGAGAACCCCAAGGTGTTCCCAGACCAACTGAGAGACGTAGTCTCTCTAGCATGTCCTGATCTTCCCCAGGATCTCATCCCAGTCAGACATGCGCGAAGCACCTCCCTAGGGAGGTGCCCAGGAAGCATCCTTCCCAATGCCCAAACCACCTCACTTGGCTCCTCTTGATGTGGAAGAGCAGCGGTTCTACTCCAAGTCTCTTCGGGATAACTGAACTTCTCACCCTATCACTAAAAGAGAGTCCAGCTACCCTGCGATGGAAACTCATTTCAACCGCCTGTATCTGCCATCTCATTCTTTCGGTCACAACCCAGAGTTCGTAACCATAGGTGAGGGTAGAAACATAGACCGACCAGTAAACCGAGAGCTTTGACTTACAGCTCAGCTCCCTCTTCACCAAAATAAACTGGCACAGATGAATGAAGAAGCTGCACCAATCTGTCTGTCAATCTCACGCTCCATTTTTCCCTCACTCGTGAACAAAACCCAAAGATACTTGAACTCCTCCACTGAGGCAGAACCTCACCCTCGATCTGAAGATAGCAGTCCACCTTTTTCTGACAGAGGACCATGGCCTCAGATTCAGAGGTGCTGATTCTCATCCCATCCGCTTCACACTCGGCTGCGATGCGCTCCAGTGAGAGCTGTAGATCATGGAACAATGACGCCAAAATGACCACATCATCTGCAAAGAGCAGAGAAGGAATCCTGAGGTCACTGAACCGGGATCCCTCTGCCCCCTGACTGCACCTAGAAATTTTGACCATAAAAGTTATGAAAATAATCAGTGACAACGGGCAACCCTGGCGGAGTCCAACTCCCACCTGAAGGGGTCCAACTTACTACTGGCAATGCGAACCAGATTCATGCACCGCTTGTATAGGGACTGAACAGCCTGTAGCAGCCAATGGGCCCCCAATCTCATACTCACAAAGAACCCCCCCCCCCCCCCCCACAGTGTACCTCAATGAACATAGTTGAACGCCTTCTCCAAGTCCACAAAACATAGGTAGACTGGATGGGCCAACTCCCATAACCTCTCGAGGACCCTAGTGAGGGTAAAGAGCTGATCCAGTGTTCCACGGTTAAGATGGAACCCACATTGTTCCTCCTGGATTCGACCAATGATCAGACTCGCTTCTCCAGTACCCCTGAATAGACCTTACCAGGGAGGCTAAGGAGAGTTATGCCCCTTTAATTGGAGCACACCCTCCGGTCCTCCTTTCTGAAGAGGGGAACTACCACTCCAGTCTGCCAATACAGCGCGTTACGACAGCCATCATAAGTTTTGTGTACGTGTGTGCAATATGCAATTGTGAAAATAGTGTCCAGGTGTGTGGCTGAAAATGGAGACGCAAAGGAGCTGAACGGTGATTAGCTGCCTGCCTGGAGATGTGCCGCATAAAATGAGCTGCATTGTTGACGACATCGGCTTTCCATCCACTCTGCGCATCCCAACCAGTCACAGCTGACCTGCTGTGCTTTGTTTTTGTCAGATCAATTAGTTTATCTAAAAAAAAGTTAAATCTGGTCCTCTGGACATTCAAAAAACAAAACAAAGCAAAACAAAAAAAATGTAGAAACGTTTCGTCTTCCATCCGAAAGACTTCCTCAGTCTGAGGTGCTGTGTTCAGCTCAGTTTTATAAATAGCACCTTCTCAGAGTGGATCAACCAGTTTTGGTACTGACAACCAAAACCAGCTGCTCACATGGTCAAGAAGGACCATCAGCCTAACGATGGATCATTAGCACACTGATGGCTGTTTACTATTCACAGGAAGCTGAGTGATACTAACAATAACAGCATTGTAAGAGAGGGACAGTTGAACCCGGAGGCTCCACCTCTGTTTAATGATGGAGGTTGAATCGCAAGTGGTTCCTGTAGTCTGTCCTCTTCCTTGCTGTTTTCTCAAACTGTCTAACTAGTTTGAGGCAATCCTTATAAGACTGAGCTGAATACAGCACCTCACACTGAGGAAGTCTTTCAGATGGAAGACGAAACGTTTCTACTTTTTTTTTTTATTTGCTTTGTTTTGTTTTTTGAATGTCCAGAGGACCAGATTTAACTTTTTTTCGATTATTCTACCTGGATTATTGAGCATGCATCAGGATATCAATTAGTTTAGTTTTGTTAGGAGTTTTTTTTTGTAGGCGTGAGCTGCCATTTTACTTAAGACAATTTTTTCTCCTGTTTTTGTTAGTTTAGTTCAGGTAAGATACCTGTATTTTGGTTAATTTTGATTTGTTTAGGTAAAATAAAATAGGAGAAAAAATAGTTTGTGTTTGTTCTTTGTTTTGGTCTGGGCTCACCCTGAAGTTCGGTACGACTTCATGTTTGTCATAAATAATTATTCACATTGTAAATAAACTCACTGTTTAACCATATACAAAGTACTTTGACTCCATGGCTGCTTGAGGTGTGCAAAAGGTGGCAACTCCAGCAGATCTAATTACAACCAGGTGGCAGGGTTGTGCCCGGTGGTAACAATTGGGAGCTTGTCTGGGACAGCTGTGTTTGTCAGGTTGTAACAAGTGGCACTGTCCCCCGATGTCCACGCAATGTTGCAAAGGCACGTCAACCAAGACAGCCCACAACATCCAGAACCTTAAGGAAATCAGGGCAAATTTCATCCACCCCCAGAGTCCTGCTGTCGCAGAACTTTTTAACAACCTTGGTGACCTCAGGCATGGTTATGGACAGACCAACCCCAAAGTCCCCCAACTCAGCTTTCTTCATGGAAGGTGTATACTTCCATGGAATAGCAATGGATACTTGTTTTTATTTAAATCTACTAGAAATGCCATAGAAACCACAGTTAGATAGATAAAACTGTTTTATACCAGCCGGGAGTTTCCCAAATAGCTATGAGCTAAAAACCTAGCATATTTCTATATGTCCTTAAAACATTTGAGGAAAGAACAAAGAAAAGAAAGAACAAAGAATAAGTGGCAGACCTATAAAAGTGATTGAAATGAATATTTTTAAAAATAACAAAAGATTTACCAAACATCCTGACATACACCTGAAAAACCATTCAAGTATAATGCCAAGCCTCTGGCTTGCTCAGTTTCATTCGATGAAAGAGAAGCATTCGTGAGCACAGTTCTGCTAACCTGCTAAAAGCGGAGCTAACTTTCCATGTAGTGGATTAGCGTTTTTGCTATGCCTGTGAAATTTAAATCACAGACCAAAAACATGTTTGTTAGACTACTTGGTAACTATAAATTGTCCCTAGGTCTAAGTGAGAGTGTGACTAGTTGTTTGTCTCGTTTGTCTCTATGTGGCCTTGTGATGGACTGGAGACCTGTCCAAGGATGTCCCTCCACCCCTTGCACAGTGACTGCTGGATATGAGAACCACTGACCCCTGTGGCCTGAAAAGGAACAAGTTGGTAAAGATAAAGGATGAATGGATGGATGGAAATTCAAGTCAGCCAATTTTAATTTAAAAACGGTTCTCCACACCAAAATCTTACAGTCCAGTGGTCATTTTTATGGAGCTATGTTATGATATGCAGAGCTAAAATCTAAGCACTCTCACAGTGCCCCCCCCCCCCCCCCCCACACACACACACACACACACCCATCTACTGCAAATAGTCATTGACTCATGTCAGTTTAAAACCAATAACAGAGACTTTAACATAAATGCTAAACCAAACCAGAACAGGTAAATAACACGAAAAACCCATGTCCACACTTCAAAACATCTTAAACAGTCAAAAACGTTGCACACATAATTCGTACTCGGCATGCTTTTCAATGATCACACTGTCTCTGGGATGTGACTATCACACATTTCTTCACATATCTTTACTTTAATACAAACAGATTTTACTGAGAGAATATTGATGATGATGATGCACAGAAACTTTGTACAGTAGTCCCTTGTTTATTGCGGAGGATCCGTACTGCAGCCCCGCGATAAGTGAAAAACCTTTATGTAGGAATAGCAGTACAAGTAGTAAGTAGTACAGTAGTCCCTCGCTACTTTGTGGTTCATCTTGGACTCGCTCTATCGCGATTTTTCCAAACAAGATTGGACATGACACACAACTGGCTGATTGATGTGATTGATGGATGAGCTGCACAATCAGCATGAAATTTTCATTTAAAATAAATGTTAAATTAATTAGCACCTGCTGCAGGGCGGAGAAATGGGCGTGGCCAAGAGCACTTGCAGGTGGTAAATAGCAGAGGAGACGGAGCTGAAATCATGACAGTCTGCTCTTTTAGAGCGTTTAGAGTTTAGAAACATTGTTAAGAATATTGCA